AATACAAAAAAAAAAGAATCAAGGAGCTGGGCCAGGGATTTAGCTCAGTGGTTTTGGCACCTGCTGCGCAAGCGCAAGGACCCGAGTTTGATCCCTGGTACCAAAAAAAAAAAAAGAATAGAGGAGCTTCCCTGGTTTCAAAACTGTCTCTTGCCGGGGATATACCTCAGTGGTTTCACCGCCTGCTCCACAAGTGCAAGGACCCGTGTTGGATCCCCTGTACCAAAAAAAAAAAAGTTTCAAAACTGTCTCTTAGTGACCCTTTGAGTTTCATGTTTTTTTTTTTTTTTGGGAACTGGGGATTGAACTCGGGTCCTTGCGCTTGTGCAGCAGGCGGTGAAACCACTGAGCCAAATCCCCGGCCCCTATTTCATGGTTTTTGGTCTGTAAATTGGGACAATCTGCCTCTAGAGAAATGATGTTTTATATAAAATAATCAGAGATGGCCTCATTGATAAAGTTACATTTCAGAAAATTCTTGCATGGATTGGAGAAGAAAACCAGGGAAGCATCTGAGGTAAAAGTATACATTCAGAGAGGGAAAATCCATACTTTTATTGTCATCATTATTGCTGTTATTACCACATATATCATAAAAGGTTAAACCAGAAGCACTATGAGGTAGAAGGCAAATGGACTTCATAGTTAAACAAATTTCAGTTTGATAGAATAAGTGACTTGACCTTCCACAGTTTTACTTACACGAAAATTAGAGTTAACAAGACTTACATCATAGGATTATTGTAAAGGTTAAATGAGATAACTTTTATTTTATTTTTTTGGTACCAGGTATCGAACTTGGGACTTTGTGCTTGCGAGGCAGGTGCCGGAACCACTGAGCTAAACCCCTGCCCTGAGATAACTTTTAAAACAATGTTAGCATATATGTTCCCTACCTGTTCATTTCCTTTCATTCCTAACAGTACTCTCACAGGCCATTGTTATTATATTAGCTTTTTACTTATTACATTTATTAAAAATAGGTAAACCTTTCACTACACAACTTCATGCCCCTTTTTTTGCAATCTTTAAGAAGTTCTAATATGTCTCTTTATTTTAAATAAATTAAATTCACCTCATATAGGTGGCATGTCATAGATTGGATAGGTGGAATTGGGTTTCATATTCTCAGGTAGCATAGTATAAGGGTCTGCTCTTTTTTAGAGTGTGAAAGACTGAGTTTAAGACTTATGTGATGTTGTGATAGTATAAAGTTGTTAGAAGACAGAGACTCTTGAATTTCTTTCTTCTTTTGATGCTTAGGATTGGACCCAGGGTTTTGCTCAAGCTAAGGAGTTTTTCTAGTACTATGCTACATTCCACCCCTATTTTTTATTATTGTACCTAATACATTGAATTAGGTTTCATAAGAGTAATGTCTAGTAATGTCTAGCTGGAGACTGCTGTAATTCACTTAGCAAGTTAGATAACCATTCTCTTTTTATTAATAACTGAGAAAAACTTTAATTTCAGTGTTGAAAACGTTAAAAAATAAACTTTATATAATGGTTAAGCCACCTATCCTTCTACCATAATGTGTTGAAGAAAGCAATTTTGAGCTAGCATATGACCATTAAAATTTTTATTTTGAAATTAAAACTTCTTTCAGAATGTTAACTTCACTACTATCCAAAGGAAATACTTCAATGAAACAAAAGGATTAGAGTACATTGAACAGCTGTGCATAGCAGAATTCAGCACTGTCCTATTGGAAGTTCAATCCAAGTAAGCTCCATCTTGAGGAAAGTAATGAATCATCCAGTGGGAATTCCATAAGGGCAGGGACTTTCACCTGCTTTGTCCCCTGCTATATTTCTTTTTTTCTTTTGGTGCTAGGGATCAAACTCAGGACCTTGCGCTTGTGAGGCAGGCGCAGCACCACTAAGCTAAATCCCTGGCCCTGTTCTATGCTGTATTTCTACCATCTTGGCTTGTAATGTATACTCAGTAATTATTGAAATACTAAAATAGTTAACTAAATTGTATATAAAGCATATATTCATAATTTAATTCATGCAGAATGGCCCAAATTGGGCATAATCTATTGTCCTAATGATTATGTTCACTGCACTTTTGAGTGAAATGCTCAACTACCCACATAATACAGGAAATATGAGGCTCATGAGTGAAACACAGTTACTGTGTTTCTGTTACTTTTTACCTTTACTTCTAAAAATTCACCTTGAGACAGGGAAGATACTTTGGGAACAGATATGTCTTACAGTATGTTAGATAGATACTTTCTTTGAGGCTGGTTGGCCCACTTGTTTACTCAGTTAATCACAATGGCTGCTCTTAGAAAGAGTGTAACATACTTTCTCGTACACTGGGACCTCCTGAGGCTGTCATGATGATCACTTCTTGGCCTTTTGGCTAAGATCAAGTGTAATGTCATGCTGTCATGATATTATCTGAATGGTAGGACAAAAATGGACACAAATTACAATTGGATGTTTTCTTCTAACAAGTGATTTTGGGGAGTCTAATAACCCTTAAAGTGACAGACTTCAAAAATTTATGTATTTGTTTCAGTTTTTTAGATTAGAGGTTATTTACCTAGTTTTCAAAATAAGGTTCATTCACTGTTCATTTTCACTTTGAATTTAAACAATGCTATGCAAATGTTTTACTTGTCCTAATATTAAGGTGAAATAAGTATTACTTTTTATAGCAATATTTTTTTTTAATCCTGAAGACACAGTATTGTATCATTGATCACCTTACAGGTATTACTGCCTTGCAGCTCTTGCAGCTTTGTTAAAATATGTTGAGTTTATTCAGAATTCAGTTTATGCACCAAAATCGCTGAAGATTTGTTTCCAGGGTAGTGAGCAGACAGCCATGATAGATTCAGCATCAGCCCAAAACCTTGAATTGTTAATTAATAATCAAGACAGTAGGTAAGATCATTTAATATTATTCCAATAGAATATATCAGTATATTTTATGTCATATTTTTCTATGAAGTTAAAGTTATTTAAATGGTTTGATGACAAAATATTGAATAAACATTTTTAATCTTTTTAAAATCATTGTACATTATTGCTGAACTACTCAGATGTTTCACCAAAGTCAGGTTTTAAAAAGATTTTTGTATTAACTCAATTCAAAACTAGATAAAGGGGATGAACAGACATTTCTCCAAAGAAGGTAAACAAATGGCCAACAAGTACATGAAAAGATGCTCAACATCTCTAGTCATTAGGGAAATAAAAATCAAAACCACAGTAAGATACCACTTCACACCCATTAGGATATGGGTTAAATTACTCTATTAGTGATTTTCTGTGTTATCCTTCCTATGTTGCTACCACATAGGAAGTCAGTGATCAACCTTGGTAATTATTACAAAGTGTTTCATGTTCAGTTTTACCTTGTCAGGTTTCATATTTCATCACTGTTTGTCACTGTTAAATGCTGCTTGAGTGCATGCTATATATCAGGGATACAGAGACTTGAAAGATTATCTCACTTCTGGGTGCTCATTGATAGCTGAAAAGGAGAGATTTTGAAGCATTTTAGAGACTCAAGTCAAAGAATTTTAGGCTAAAAGACAGATATCCTACTGAACTACCGGAATAGTTCAAATGCTTCTATGATCTTGTCACCTCTTAACAGCTATTAATTTCTATATCAAGTGGCAGGCCTGTGTATGCTACTCACTTCCTTTGTTCCTGCAGAAACAAAGACCGCAAATAAGAGAAGAAACTGTGCATGTGATGAGAAACTCCCAGCCAGTTGGTTTAATTAGTTCCTAAAAATATAAATTGCTATAACCCAAATCTGGTAATCCGATGACTAAAACTTGAGAGTTCTTCACCTCACATTCAGCCCATCCAAAAATTTTCTTGACTGAACCTTCAGAATCTATTCCAAATTTTAATCTCTTCTCACTATTTCTAGTGCTAACACCTTAAGTCAAGCCCCTGTCATCTTTAACCTGGACTTGAGCTTCCTAATTTGTCTTCTTACTCTCCTACAGTTATTCTCAACATAGCAACCAACGTATATTTTTAATCCAGAAATCAGGTCTTGTAACTCTACTACATAAAACCTTCTCGTGGTTCTCCTTACATTTTGAATAGAGCCCAGACTCTTCACTATGACCTACAGGGTACCTATGTCCTAGTCCTTATCAAATTCTTCATTCACCTCTCTCCATTTTTACCCTTCCCTCTTCCCTGCAAAGTTCTGTGAACTTTGATTTTTCTAGATCGGGAGCCAGACTTCCTAGGCTTTAATTTCTGCTCTTCTACTTGCTTGGAAATCCTGGACAAGTTATTAATTTTCTTGTGGTTTAGTTTTTTCACCTGTAAAATGTGGCTAACAGTAGCATCTACCTCATACCATCCCTGTTAAAATTAAACACGTCAATCCATAGGAAGTCTTCAAATCAATTCCTGATACATACTAAAGTTACATGTATGTTGTCCTCATGATCATCATTGCCCATCTCATCATCATCTTTGCATCTTTGCACCGCTTCCTTTTTTGAGGTCCTAAGTCAGCTATCAAATATCCAAGGGAAATCTTTTCCAATTTAGCTAAAGCAATCCTCCTGATCATTCTCTGAGTATTCCTTATTTTTAGCTGTTCTTTTATTATTTTCTTTCTTTATATGATTATGTATTTATTATGTATCTCCCCTTACTCTTTGTCTTGTCTCCAGGCATGGCTATGATAAAAATAATTGGCAGTCACTAGCCTGTAAAGCCTGTGAAGATAGGAATCTTGTCTGTCTTGTTTGCTCAGGGCATAAAATACTCTTTTAATGAACCAGCTATTTCACATGCATCATAATTGTCTCATAAATAGTCCAGTGAAATAAATTTTTAATAGTAGCTCATTTCTTTATAAGGATCATTTAGAAGTGATGAAACTGTCTTTTGCTTATAGTTCTCCTGTAATTTCTTCAGTTAGAACAAAATTATTAGATCAAATGCTTATTTTATCAATGTAAAAGTCCTTGCCTTTAAGGATATATCATTGACATTTTGCTATTATTGGTTGGATGCTATGGACTAGAAAATGGGTTTTTTTTAGTCTGAATATTATAACAGATCTTTGGGAAAAAGTCACTAAGTGCAAGGAGATATTCTTGATCCTTTTAGTCATAATGTGCTTCATAGACTGACACCAGGGAGTATTCAAAATGTAGATTCTCAGGTGTTATCCCAGACCTAGAGAATTAGAATTCCCATGTAATTTGCATGCAAAATAAGGTTTGAGAATTACTAATGTAATTATAGAATTATTTAATTATGAAGTTAAAATGCAATTGTCTTGGATTTTTTTGGTATACTTAATGAAATTCCTCAACTTGTGTTTTCAAAGGAATAATCACACTCTCTTTGGTGTTCTAAATTATACTAAGACTCCCGGAGGGAGTAGAAGACTTCGTTCTAATATATTAGAGCCACTAGTTGATACTGAAACCATTAACATGAGATTAGATTGTGTTCAAGAACTACTTCAAGATGAGGGACTCTTTTTTGGCCTGAAATCAGGTAAATGAATATCACCTAACTTTGTAAATACAGATTATTTTAAAGTGCAATTCATTTAGCCGAGTCATTTTTTGTGTTTCTAAAAGGCAGATTAAAGGCAGATTATACATTTTTACTGGGAATCTATTTTCCTGAAATTTTCCCCCTGAATCCTGTAGTAAATAATTTCAGTGGCATGTTTTATATTTTGGTACCCTGGATGGTATTCTTTTCCTTTTATCCATGGATTATTTTAATAGACATTAAAAATTATTTTTTCTCCATGGTGATACTCAAAGAAGGGATGCTTTGTCAAGACTGTAATGATCAACAGATGGGGGTTATTAGTTTCTTAGGGCTTCTGTAAGAAGTACTATATATTCTGTGGTTTAAAACAAATTTTTCATCTCACAATTCTGAAAGCTCGAAGCTGAAAGCAAGGTGTTGATAGGGCCATTTCCCCTCTAAAGCTTGTTTGGAAGAATCTTTCCTCTGCCTAACATCTGTTGGTGACTGTCAGTCTGGGCATTAGCTTGCAGCTCCAGCATGCCAGGCTCACCACTGTTGTCACATGCTGTTCTCCTTGTACAGTATGTCTTCACATTGCCTTCTTAAAAGGAAATCAGCCATATTGGATGAAGACACGCCCTATGGCCTCATCTTAACTTGATTATATCTACAGAAACCCAGGTTCCAGTTAAATCACATGCACAGGTACAAGGAGTTAGGACTTCAGCATTTCTTTTGGGGGGACATAGTTCAACTCATAACATGGAATGAAAGTGTAGTCCTTGGATTGCAGCTGTCTCTTCACTGGCACGATGGTGCGCTTTTCCTCTTAAATCTGTAGGTGGAAAGATATTTCATATGCACAGCTGCTAGTCAGCTGGCTGCTAGTTAGCAGCTTGGTCTCACTTCCATAGCTCCACTCTGCTGACTGCCCCATCTTGAATTTTGGGAGGCTAAACTGAGGTAGCACATGAAAATCTGGAAGAGATTTACATATAGCCTGAGTAAATTTTTCTCAATTCAATTCCTATTCCATGTGAGATAAAGAAGACCATTACAACAAGTAGTAGCTGTTCTATTTTATTATTCAGGGTAATATTTTATATAATCTATAATTTCACCTGTATCATAAAGTTTAAATGCTCATATATTTTCTGTTTGTTTCAGTTATATCAAAATTCCTCGATACAGAACAGCTTCTTTCTGTTTTAGTCCAAATTCCAAAGCAAGACACGGTATGCTTACATATGCATTATGTTACTGTTATACCCATATGATATAACTTAATATAATAATGGGGAAATATCAAAATGTCTTGGAACAAAGAGTACTTCATTATTGATATCTAGAACATTTTCATTTCTTTTAAAGGAAACTTTAAAAAATGTATTATCCTATGTCATGGTACAATAAAAGGCTTCTTAGATGGTCGAGAAATTAGCCTATTTTTGTTGATCACATATTTAAAGAATTATACATAATTTTCAAAGATCTTAGAGTATAATAACATTTACCTAATAAATTACTAAATAAAAATTACATAAGACCCAGCCAGGTATGAAGGCACAAGCCTGTAATCCCAGTTTCTGTGAGGTCAAGGAGGGTAAAAAGTTCAAGCCCAGCCTGGGCAGCCTAGCAACTTAATGAGACCATGTCTCAAAATAAGAAATAAAAAGGGATAGGGATTTATCTTTGTATGGAGGCCCTGCTTTCATTTGGTGGTGCAGACCCCCTACCACCACCAAAAAAGTTAGATCCAGAGTACATTCTTAAAAGTGATCATCATATGAAGTTCCATTAGCCTTCAAATATGCTTAACATTTAAGAATGAAGCTCTGTTGTCTACGGCCATACCACCCTGAACAGGACTGATCTTGTCTGATCTCAGAAGCTAGGCAGGATTGGGCCTGATTAGTACTCGAATGAAAAAATGAAGCAATATCATCTCTCAGTAATATTCAAACATAAGTAATGTTTAAAGACAAAAGAGGCAACAGTTTCATTCTTCCTCTTAAGGTGAACCAAAGAGTATTTACTTTAATGAATACATGTATATTTTTGTCCATATGCTTAAAGGAAGAAGATGTTTCAGATGTCAATAAAATTTCATTTAAAATTTTATTTAAAATTTCATTTTTTTTTGTAAATCCATTGAAGCCTAATTTGTATTTGGGGAGCCTTTCCATATTGTAAAGAAAATTGACTCTGAAGTTTCATTTTAATGAAGTACCTGTAGGTGGAAAATATGTTAGCTGTTGGACAGGCACAGCACTGGAAGTTAAAACACTTTATAATTCATTATACACAAGTGGGAGCTAATCTGAAATAACTAATGTGTAGAATAAAATTAGCTGACTTTATAAACTGAGTTTGGAAGTATTGCCTGCTCTTCAATTTTCTGGTAGTTTATGTAGAACCAATATGTATTCCTTAAATTTTTGATACAATTCACCAATGAAGTCATTAGAACTTGTAATATTTTGGTAGGAAGGTGTATAACTAAAAGTTAACTTTTGAATTAGATATGGTGCTCTTCAGGTTGTTTCCTTGTAAGTTGTGTTTTTTAGAGAATTTGTCATTCCACTCAGTTTTTCAAAGTTACTGGAATAAAATTGCTCACACATCCTCCTCATTATACTTTTTATATCAGCAAAATTTTCAGAGATGTACTCTCTCGTTCTTGGTATTGATAATTTGAATACTCTCTCTTCTGATCCATCTGACTAGGGGTTTCAACTTTATTGCTCTTCTCAAAGAACTAGCTTTTGAGCTCAATGATTTCTGTACTTTTTTTTTCTTGTGTTGTTTCACTGATTTTGGTTTTATCAGTTTTATCTCCATCCGTCTGCTTACCTGTGCTTCATTTTTATTTTTATTCAAGGCTCTAAAGGTAGAAGATGAGTCATTGATTTGAGGTCTTTTTATTTTCTAATATATTTAGTACTACAAATATTTTCATGAATAAAACATTAGCTATGTTTCACAATATTGGTATTTTGGTTTTTTTCTCATTCAGAAAAGTTCAAAAAACTTTTGACATTCCAATTTGTATCGCTTCTTTAATATATGGGTCCTTTAGAAGTTTGTTGTTTATTTCTAATGTGTGGGGACTCTCCAGTACTTTCTGGTATTGATGTCTAATTTACTTCCCTGGTGGACAAAGGACAAGAGTTGTGTAATACAGATCCTTTTAACTTTATTGGCACTGTTTCTATTGCCCCAAATAGTCTATCTTAGTTAATGTTCCATTTGAACTTGAAAAGAATGTGTATTTTGCTGACCTTGGCTGGAGTGTTCCGTAAATGTCAGTTAGTTCAAATTGATTGATAGTGTTTAAATTTCTTGTACCCATATTGGTTTTTTGTCTATTTGTTTTACTAGTTACTGAGAGAAGGATGTTGAAATCTACAGCCGTAACTGTGGATTTGTCTGTATTTTCCTTGCAGTTCCATCTATACATTTATCTAATGTACTTCAAAGCTCTTTTTATTAGGCACATTAACATTTAAGATAACTATGTTCTCTTAATGAATTTTAACTTTTATCATTATGAAATGACCTTCTTTATCTCTAGTAATGTTCGCTGCTCTAGAAATCTTCTGTGCGCACTACTAATACAGCTGCAGAGGCTTCCTTTTGATTAGTGTTAGCATAGTATACCTTGCCATCCTTTTGCTTTTAACATATTTGTGTCTTTAAAGTGAGTTTCTTATAGGCAACATGAGGTATGAACAAAAAATACAGTGAAAGATTAAATCCTTAAAAATTTATTACATATTTCCTTTAGTCTCCTTCAAAATACTCCCCCTTGTTTCAGACACACTCATTTAGCTCTTCTTGTGACCTTCTGAAGCAATCCTGGAAGTCTTCTTTCCCGTCTTTATTTGCACTGTCATAGCTGCATAAGTTGCCCTCCAGTAAGATGTCATCTCAACTAATTACCTACCTCTGTAATGACCCTATTTTGAAATACCTAGAACTTGATCATATGTTTGGGTGTGCATGACACAATTCAGTCTTTAAAAGTCTGTAAGTAAAGGCTATGTTTTTGTTTTACCAATGGAAAGAATTAGTAGTCATGTTATACCTGAGAGCAGTCTCTTTATTGTCATTTTATATAATGTACAGTATTATACAGCCATACAGTGGCAGTTATAAGAATCAGTAATATACATGTTTTTGCATTTGACTTTCTCTGATTAAATTTTAAAAATATCAGTTTAGCCAACTAGCTCTTTGAGAAATATCTGATTAGCTAGATAGCTCCTGTAATCAGTTTGACCACTAGGTTTCAGAAAAGTTCTCTGGTCTAGGTTGAAGGAATTCTATAAGCTGAGACTCTGGAATAGTATTTTCTTGTCCAGAAAAAAACACTATCTATTACTAGCCTGATGGGGTTTTTAAGGCTCAATGTTGCTTCCCATTTTTTAAATTAAAGCAAACTTTGGTTTTTGAAAAATAAGTCAGAGTTGTAAATCTTTTCCTAACTGGCATGTCTGTCCTTTGTGGAAGCATTTTATTACACTTTTAAGATGCAATTTACTTTTAAGAAAATGTAATCAGTATATTGAACTTCATACATGATTGATTCATGACTTTCAGTATTTTATGTACTTTTCTCACTTTTTTGAACTCTGGAAATATATTTTAATAACTCTTTTCTTGTATCTATCTTAATTAAACATAATGTATATATTAAAGTAGTTCAAACTTGTGCTGGTTAAATTGAATAATTTTCTAAAGCTGGTGAATGAATTAAAAGCTCTATTAGCTGAATTATATGATTAGTTTAAACTTCTGAGTGGACAAATGTTCTTGAAATTTTCCAGTATGAAATGTTTTACTTAAGACAAGTTCTTATACTTTATTCTTAAGGATATTGATTTTTATAAAATGTATCTTTCCTGATCATAAATATTTACTGAGAATAAACCTTAAATTTCTTAATACAAATAAATGTCTTTTCTTCCTGTGCAATATCTATAACCTTAGAATTTAATATACTGCACTAAGAATATCTGTTTTCCATTATAAACATCTAAAATACTACCTCTAACATTTGAAAACTCTGATATTAAACTTATTGTTTTACTCAGGATTCTTTGCTTTATTTTGAATGATTTTCATTTTTTGAAAAATTATTTTAGACTTCGCAACACAGTATATTTATTACATGGCCCTTTTACTCAAGAAATTTTTTTCTTGTTTTGTTTTTTGTTTTTTGAGACAAGGTCTCACTATGTAGTTCAGGCTGGCTTTGAACTCAATATGTAGCCCAGGCTGGCCTTGAATTCATGGCAATCCTACTGCCTCAGCCTCCTGAGTTCTGAGATTGCCAGTATGTACTACCATGTCTAGCTTCAAGCAATTTATTTTACCAAAAATTTTGGTAAATGCTAGAGATACAGTAGGAAGTAAGGCTCTGCTTATAATTCCCTAGAAGAACTTATAATTCAGTGTGAGATTTAGGTGAAAAAAAAAAGCAATTATAGCATAGTGGTATCAAAGACTGTAAGGGACCTGAGACTACTCTATTTGTAACCTAACAAGTTAGGGTGCCACAGTTTCATAGGTGCTGCCAGAAGACACAAGAGTCCTGGGTCAGACAGAAAAAACTTCAGTATCCCAATAGTCAGTAACCAGAGAATCAGCATTTTCTTGCACTGGCTCTCTAAGCTCCATTTCTCACAGGGCTGTGTGAAGAGGGCCAGGTGACTTCCTGTTACAAGGCAGAATCACTGAGGTGGGGAGCCTGCTTTATAATGGGCAGTAAGTATGACTTCTTGCTCTTGCAGCTTTATCTTTCAAGATTTTAAGCAAACCTACCGTCTGCTGTAGAAGGAGACACTAGTGTCTTTCAAAGCTATGCATCCTTGGAAATATTGTCTAAACCAAAGGTAATCAGTGCCTCTACTCACAAGATGGGTGAAAATGCAAAAAACAGTGGAGAATTGTCTCCCATTTCTCCATGGAGACTCTCTCCCTTCTTGGCTTTGCAGAAGCAAATGATAAAGAGGCTCTGAAGGTTTTCTATTGCTTTCTAACAAATAACCACAAGCGTGACTACTTAAAACAGCCCATGCTTATTATTTCGTGATTTCTGTGGACCAGGAGTCTGTGCCCATCTTTGCTTAGTCCTTTCCTCCATGTTTCAAGATTTGCAATCTGAGTGTCTCCCCCACTGCCTTAGTTTTACTCCATATTTTTGTTAACAAGAGTTACTTGGAGCCTCACAAAATTTCTTGCTAATCTCAAGACTGTATTCCCTACTACCTTAAATTTTAATATTTGTGTGAACTAATGTTTAATTGAACCAATATTTGCTTTTGAAGTGTCAGAATGCTCTCCCAACCTTGCCCCTCTTCACGTGAGTCACCACAAGAAGCCCAGTACCCCCAAATTACTCATCTTACTCATCACTTCCTAAAATTCACTATCATTGACTGATACATTCAGTGAGCCCTCAAGAGTGCTCAGTAGCTCTGTATTTTCTTGTCTGTTTGATTTTCCACGAGCTTAGGAATCATTTCAAGCCACTTCTGTCTCCTTCACCTTTCAGCACCTCTCTGGCCGTGACTGCCATGTGTTCAGCCAGGCTTGTTTCTCTCTCTCCTGAGAGTGTGACTATATTTTGAGCAGTGGAATATAAGGAAAAATACTAAACAGCACCAGAGTCCTTACTCATAAAGAATTTGCATCTTCTTTTTGGATGCAAAGGATCCAGCAGAGAAATGGTGAAACCATAGATAGAAGGAACCCGAGCCTCTGAATGACACTGGACTGTGTGTGAATAAGAAGTAAGGGTTGTTGTATTAAGCCTCTGAGATTGGGGGAGGTCATGTTATGAGATGGCGTTACTCTGATACTCATTTCAACCCTCACCCCAATTGTAGCTGTTGAGGATCTTGCCCCCTACTTCCCGGGGGAAAGTGAAGCAATCATCGACAACTTCCACTTGCTCTCCCAGCTGCATTTATCCCACTGACTTGTATATACCACCTCTCTCATGACTGTGGATAAACTATCCATCCACCATCTGGGCTAAGGCCAAATCTTTTACTTTATATACTAGGCTCCTTGTCTTCTTGCCTCTTTTTCTTGGCAGCACTTCAGAATTTTCCTCACCTTGCACTGTTAATGTTCACCTTTTTTTTTTAATCAGCATGAAACATAGCATTGTTACTTAATTAAAAGGTAAAATTATTTGCTCAGTTTTATTTCTCTCTGCTTGCCTTCTATTTTTGTTTCTCTTTATCCCAAACTTCCTTGGAAAGATCTTCAATAATTGATGTCTCTAATGACTCCTTTTATCTCTTAATGCATTCTAATCGGGTCTTCAGCCCACCACTCCACGAACACTGCCATTAATGATGTCACGCCTGCCAAAGAGCACCATATGGCCAAATCCAGGGGCTCAACAGATGAACAAACTCTTTTCCTTGAAATATTCTCTTCCTTTGCTTCCAGATGAGTACCTCTTCTTGTTTTCTTCCTCCCTCTCTGTTCCTTATCAGTTTTAGACTTTTTTAAAGTAATGTTATGAGTCTAGTTGTTAATCTGTATGTATGATAATTAATTTTATAAAGACTTACAAGATAAATACATGAATCTGATGCTGGCAGAAAAGGGAGAATGGAGGGGAAGAGAAAAAAAGAGAATTGAAATGTGTTATGTGCATGTACTAATTCCCCACAATGACTGCAATCATTATGTACTTCAAACATGTGCTAATAAAAATTAAAAATTAAAAAAGAAATAATGTAGATACAGAAAACTACGCAAGACAAAAATAGAGTGTTCACTGATTTGTCATTAAGTAAACAACATTTAATAATTACTGAGGTAAAGAAACTGTTACTGCCAGTACCTCAAAAATTCTCCATTTGCTCCTCCTTCCCATTTGTTATTCTCTTCCTCCCTGTTTTTAGTATCTCTCTTTTGTTTTTATTTGTAATATAGTTTTTCCTATTCTTTCAGAAGCTTCATGTATAATAAATCATTCTGCATGTATTTTTTATCTGGCTTCTAGTCAACATTGTATTTATGAGATTTAATCATGTTGTTGCATGTAGCTGTTCATTTATTTCCATTGCCATTTAATATTCCACTGTATGAGTATTCATTAACTATTGCTGCATTTTTGAATTGTTGACAGTTCTGGCAATTTAAATAATACTGTTAAAAATCTTGTTGGGGGCTGGGGATTTAGCTCAGTGGTTCCACCGCCTGCCTCGAAAGCGCAAGGTCACGAGTTCGATCTCTGGTTCCAAAAAAGAAAATCTTGTGGGGCTGGGAGTCTAGCTCAGTGGTATAGTGCTTGTTGAGCATGTGCAAGTCTCTAATTTTGATCCCCTGCACTGTAAAAAAAAAATGCCTGCCTCTGACATAATTATGTGTACATATTTATTGGGCATATAGTTAGAAGAGAAATTTCTGGATAGTAGCTATGTATATCTTCAACTTTAGTAGATCGTGCAAACTACTATATTTTTCAAAATGATTTTATCAATGTACCCTCCCAAAAGCACTGTATGAGAATTCCTACTAATCTTCCCCAAAACCTGATATGATCCCTTTTAAAATTATAGCCATAGTGTTCAGTAGACAGTGACCTTTCACTTTGTTTTTTCTTTCTAGTGGGTTACTGGCGATAGAACCCAAAGCTTTCACATTGAACTACATCCCCAGATCTTTTTAAAAAAACTTTTATTTTGAAACTAGGTCTCGCTAAGTTACCCAGGCTGGGTTTTAACTTCTCCTCCTTCTACCTCAGCCTTCCAGAGTTCTGGGATTACAGTGTGTGGTGCCACTGCTGGCTTCACTGTGATTTGAATTTGCAAGTTTCTGTTAATGAGGTTTACATATGACCCCTTTGTTGGTTTTGTGTTACAGATATCTTCTCCCACTTTGTAATTAGTTTTTGCATTAAATATCATCGAGCAGGTCTGTTGGTGTGCCACCCACATCTCTCTGGTGCCCGAGGACTTTCTCTGTCCCCAGGAGAGTCTCCAGTGGTTGTTGTGGTCTACTTAAAAGTCTTTACTTATCCCAGTGTCTTGATTTTGATTTATGTTGATGACGAATGAGGACATGGAGCAGCTAATGGCACTGAAAAGGTTTTCTAATTTATATGCCGCTAGAGGAGAGGGCACACCAGGCACACCAGGAGAGGGCCCACTAGGGTCAGGCAGGAGGCAGAAGGAACAGGGGGCAGGCACAGGCAAAGCCTTCATTACTGAAGTACCACAAAGTTGTTAGCTAAGATTTTTCCCTATCAAGCAGGAACTGAAACATGTGTTGAGGTTTGTAGGGTTTATAATACGATTTCTGTGCACCCCAAAAAGCAAGACTGAAGGGGAGATGAAAACAATTTTGGCTTAACAGTTTGGCCATGTGATTGATCGATGCCAAATCATCCATTACAAAAATCTGCAAAAGTTAGAACACTCAAGGCTATGAAGATAGTCTTCTCTTTTTTTTTGGTACCGGGGATCGAACTCCGGTCCTTGCACTTGCGCAGCAGGCGGCGAAACCACTGAGCTAAATCCCCAGCCCTGAAGATAGTCTTCTTTGTTGTATTCCAGAGGTTTTATTGTTTTACTTTTTGCAATTTAGATCTAATTTTTTGTGTGTAGGGTGAGGAAAGGGCCATGTTTTTTCTTTCTCGTACTGATTTGTAATTATAATTCGTAATTTCCTTTTATGTAAAAGTCCTTTTGCCACTGTGCTGTAGTCATAAATCAAGTGATTGTACTTGGCCTTGTTTCTAGAGTATTTGTTCTGTTTCATTGGTCTCTCTGTCTGTCCTATGCCACTAGTACAATTTCTTAATTACTAAAATTTTATTATGAGTTGATTTCAGTAGAATTAGTCCTTCCACCTTGTTCTTCTTCAAGGCTGTATTGGTTGTTTTTTGTATTATTCCTCTTTGGCAATAGTGAAGATAGGCTGTTTTACATTGGGTGAATTTTAGTTATTTTAATCTTCTACTTTCGGAGACGCATTATAAGAACATATGGAATTATAGCTTTGGAGGCTGACATTGTTTGTTAATGATATTTCTTCAAAATCAGGCTATATAATCACAGTAAACTCTTTTTACCAGTGAACTAGGCCTATTATGGCGGGTCAGTGAATTCTAATCATTCTCTAGGCTGGCATCCTAGCTAGGCTGGTATATAAAAATATACACAGTATGTAAGAGGAGGTTCAAGAGGAAAACCTATTCTTGTAATAAATATTTATGGTATCCACATTTCGATTATTTTCTTAACAGGTTAATGCAGCTGAATCAAAGATAACAAATTTAATATACCTAAAACATACCTTGGAACTTGTGGCTCCTTTAAAGGTAATTTATATGTGTATATATTATACAAAATATGTTAGGCATTTAAAAATTTTTTTGTGTAGAAAAAAATTTGAGCTTAGAGAAAGTTGCAGGAATAGTGCGATTTCCCTATTTTTCTCTTTATGCATGTATCGTATGCACATTGTTATGTTTCTTATTAATTCATGTTCAATACCCAAATACTAAAGTATCTACTACAAGGTTGATCAAAAAATATGGTGAATGCTTAAAATTTTAAAAATATTTATGACACTACAGAACACATGGTCATTAATCCCTCTCAGGATATTTCCCCTTGCTCCAGACACACTTACCCATTGTTCTTGCCCCTTTCTGGAAGTCCTCTTTCATGAGTGTCTCTACAAGGTGGGATCACAAATTCAGTGATTGCTGCTGCCCATCCAATCAAAAAGCGGCTCTGAAAAAGATGACCATGTGTCCTCATCCACCTCATTCACCAGATCTGGCACCATGCAACTTCTAGATTTTTGCCAAAGTCAAAATGACTATGAAAAGTAAACCTTTTGAATCAATTCAGGACATCAAGGCAGTTATGACAGTACAAAAACACTCATGAAAAAGGACCTCCAGAATTATTTCAAGAAGTGGCAAGATGGGGAGACAAGTGTGTCCAAAAGGTAGGGGAGTATTTTAAGGGGGTTAAGGGCAATGTGTCTTTGACTGTAAAACATTTTTGTAAATTTATATATTCACCAGATTTGTTGATCACACCTCATATCCTCTACACATACACAAGGATATTCTCTTATATAACAACAAAATAATATTCCAAATCAGAATGTTTCGTCTAGATACAATACTGTTACATAGTGTATATGCCATATTCAAATTTTTTCAGATGTCTTAATAATGTTCTTTATAACATTTTTGTCAGATATGAGGTACAGTCTACCATCATGCATTGTATTTAATGTCTTTCAACTCTTTCAAATTGAAAACTTTCTCCACCTTTCATTCATAATATTGTCATTTTGAAGAAATGAGAGATCAGTGAGACAGACAACTTCTTAAACAGCTAGTAGGAATATAAATTTTATCTACCCATTGGAATATTGACAACACATCTTATGATCTTGTAATACTACATTTATAAATCTGTCTGAAAAAACTATTAAGAAATATCGACCATGATTTATGTCCAATGATGGTAACTGCAACATTATTTATATTAGTGAGAAATTATAAGTAGAATAGATCTTCAGTAGTTAGGGGACAAGACTATTTGCTTTTCACACGGTGGAGTACTATGAATTATTAACAAATTTGCTATGAAAAGTTGCTCTTACGATGTAATAGTAAGAGGGGAGAAAAGAGACATACAGTAATGTGAAGTTTTTATTTTAGAAAAAGAAAATATTTTTAGTGTGTTTATTTTTGGAGCGATAGAAGTAAGAGTGATTTATTTCCTCTGTGCTTCTGTAAACTTTCTAGTTTCTATCATTATGTGTATATGATTTTTTCTATGTAGAAGCACAAGGAAAATGTTACCATGATTGCCTCCTAATCAAATGAAAATAAGAGGAAAAAGGTCAGATTAGCTATGCTTTCTTCCCATCTTTTCTGTTTATTAGTGATCACTCATCAAAATTAAATTCCTGGGCCAGGGATTTAGCTCAGTGGTTTCACCGCCTGCCTCAAAAGCGCAAGGTCCCAAGTTTGATCCCTGGTACCAAAAAAAAAATAATAATAATAATAATTAAAATTAAATTCCTGCCTTTGCCATATATAAATAGAGAAATTGCTATATTTATAAATATACAAAGCACTTTTAAAGCTTAATGTATTTTTGTCCCAAATTTGGGGATTATATGTACTCTAAATGTACAACAGTAGCTATTTAAAAACCTACTACAGTATGTAGTTGAATGTTAACAATTAGTTAGGAGACAAGAAAAATACAAGTCATAATAATGAAGAGGTTGATGACACTTATTAACTATGTGCTCTGTACCTGGAAAATAAGGATACAGTCTGTCCTGACCTAGATACCCAAAATACTTTTATGTCCATAAACTGAGAAAATAAAGCAAAAAATACTTGGTAAAATATAAACTGCTACACAAATGTAAATTGCAGTGTTTGAATAATGTCATAATTTGTTATGTGTAACTATTTTTTATTTTATTCTTTAACAGACCTCTCTGAAGAACTGTAACACACCTTTATTAAAAGCTTACTATGGTTCCTTGGAAGACACAAGGTCACTGTCACTCCAAAGTTAATAAAATAGCAGATTATTCTTCTTCTTGGTCATACCTGATTTTCAAGACTTCTGCCATGTTCTATAGAACAGTTACTTGAGTTTTGGTTAAGAAGAATCTTTAAACCATTCATTAAAGTTTTAATTATACATTCATCTTATTTGTACAATAAATAGAATCACAATACATTGATTATTTGTGCTAAGAGAGAATAGCATGAAAAATCAAACTTCATGGACAATTTTAATATTTCCTTTTATAGTCACATTCCATTGAAAGGCTTGAAAATATAAAAATATATTCCTCTACTTTGATAAATCAAGGAAGTCCTAATGTAACCAAAATTAATAGATATGAATACTGAATAAATATACAGTAATAAATATTTATTAATAGATATTTATTGAGCCCCTACTACCTGTAGACACTGATTGGGGTACTGGTAGCACATAGTGAACATGATAAAGTTCCTGTCCTCACAAAGGTAATTATTTTAGTTTAACACTGTTAAATTACTAGTAATAACTTACCTTGGTTCTTCACTAGAAAGATACTGTTTTATTGATTCAAGATTTATAGCTAAAAGAGGTCACAAACTAAAGTTAATAAAATCAGATTAATTTCAAATAAAATACAAAGCAGAATAAGGGAAACGTTTAGGAAAATAGGTGTTAACCAGATTTCTGGTTGGCATAATCACTGCATTTGATTACTCTTGGCTTTGAGGTTCCTTTTGTCCTGTCTCACAGTATGTGTGAGTCTCTCTCGCCTCTACTGAGGACAAGGGCCATCTGCTATCTTTCTGTGGCTCTCCTCACCTAATGAAGCTCTGGCTACATGTTGTGTTTATTGAGTGTATGAGCACAAAGCCACAATTTTTATAACAGTTCTTCAGGGATATATTTTGTACTCACAGACAAAATCAGCATTATAATTTGGGAGATCTATATATATTAGCAGATTTTAGAATTGCTCTTGGTGGCTTCATACTATTTTTGATTAGTTCTGACTGATGAAGTAGTTTAAAACTGATACAATCACAACTTTAACATATGTAAATTAAGTATTAGTGCTTAATTGTTTCAAAATAGCTCTCAACAAAAATTTGCTATCATTAACATGAATCATATAGTATGATTCATAGTAGAAATTTAAATAGTTATTTGACTTATAATCTATAATTTTTAACTTTAATTTTAGGTTCGAAATCATACTTGAAAAGATTAAAACAGTAATTAATGACGATGTAAGGTACATGAAAGGATACCTAAACATGAGGACTCAGAAGTGCTATGCAGTGAGGTCTAACATAAATGAATTTCTTGACATAGCTAGAAGGACATATACAGAGATTGTAGACGACATAGCAGGTAATTTATTTCAGTATTGTTTTCCCTGATTTTTATAAATAAAACAAACTTTTTAGGGGATCCTGGGTGATAAGGTGCCGTACATATTTTTTTATTCCAAAATAGGAAAGCTAAACACATACTGCTGCTTAAGGAGTCTGCCTGCGCCTCCGCCTCCGCCTCCGCCTCCCCGACTCCCGCTTCCTTTCTCTGTCCTCCCTCCCCCTTTTTCTCTTCCTCCTCCTTCTTCCTCTTCCCTTCTCCTCTTCCTTCTTGTTCTTTTTCTTTAAAGAATAATGTGAGAGTGTTATGATTTCTCTTCTTTTCCCCAAACTTTCTTTCATCCAACATTGTGTATAAATTATATTTAAAACATTGGCTACCAACACCGAAATATTTCAGCAGCAAGAAGTATCAGTTTTATGTGGAATAGGTGAATTTTGAGCCAGTCCAGTAATTTTAAAATTTCTGTTAGTTTGTGTTTGCAGTACATAATGATTGCGTTTATCACGGGGAATTGGTACATGTACATAACACATCTTCATTCTTTTTATGTTACCTTCCTTGCCCCCCCCATCTCTTGGTCTCTTTCTCATTTACAAAAATAATTCTTTTAATAAATATTCATTGAGCTCCCACTACATGTAGGCACAAATCCGGGTACTGGGAATACATAGTGAACATGACAAAGCTCCTGTCCTCATAAAGCTAATACTATAATAGGGGAGGCAGACAATAAAAAAGGACAAACACATTCACACATGCATATATATGTATGTACATATACATACATCAATACTGATAGATTTCTATCACAGATATCATAATTTCACATGAATACAAGATATATGAAGAAAAATGTAGGTTAGAGGGATCTGAAAGTAGAGGCTCTTCCCACAGAAGATAGGAAGGCTTTAGACAGAACAGCCAAGGGAGGAATTCCACCACTAGCAGTAAATCCAGCTGAAGCAAAGGGGCACAAAGAGATTTCAAGAAATGAATGAGAAAATCTTATAGGATGGAATCAGACATTCCCTCACAGAACTAATGAGAGGTGACGAGAAATGTGGACTTGGATCCAGAATTTAGTCTTTGAAAGCTAGGAGTATGAATCCCGCGCCCCCCAATAACAAGAAGAGGTGCTGAGAAGTTTTTGACTTACAGAGTGAAAGTGATCAAAAAATATATTTAATGAACTTGAATGAAGACAAGGAGACCAGTTTAAACTATTGCAAGTTAGCAACATTAACGTTATTTAGGGTAATAGCAATGTACATGAGTCAAGAAGAATGCAAAGGTTGAAGGAAAAACTAATAGAATTTAATTTTAAAGTAGATATGGACATGGTAAAGGTAAATGTAGCATTAGTGCTAAGTGATTTTTCTGCCCTAAGAATGGTAGTATCTTTGAGAAAAGCAGGAAAATCTGAAGGAATTGTTTTGAGTAATGAAGATGTAAAGTTTTTTTCAAGCAATGTTCAAATTTAATGGTCAAAATTAGAAACAAAATTTAGAATTTGCTACTGTGTGTGAAGTTGACAGAAATATTTAGGGGTTTTTTTCAGATGTTTTACTTGGTGAACCATCTATTTATTTTAAGGAATATTTTTTGTTATAAAAATATTTTATAGAAGAACTTTCTTATTATGAATTAATGATTTCAATAATTACTGTGACTTGTTTTATAAAATAGAATAACATCAAAAACAAATGTAACAGTACAAAATAGTACTCTAAAATTGTTTATTATTTTCCTTTCAGAATACCTATCAGTAGGTATGCATTTACTTTTGTGTTTTCTTTTACTTTTGTTTTGTTTTTAAGAATACTTAACCACATCTTTTGAACATTAAAAACTTAAAAAGTAGCAGTATCTTCCTATTTATGTATAAAATGTAAGAAAAAATGGAAACAGTAATTTTCTCATTAATATTCTTTTATTTTATTTTGTTCTTTCTGGTCACTAGGGATGATATCACAGCTTGCAGACAAATATAATCTCCCTCTAAGGACAAGTTTTAGCTCTGCTCGAGGATTTTTTATCCAGATGACTACAGATTCTGCAGTGCTACCCAGTGATCAGCTTCCTTCCGAATTTATCAAGGTTCATTCTAGAGTGATTAGGAAATTATTGTTCCTGGTTCTGTGGTTATGATTGTGTGTTTTCCAGCATTCCTTGTGTTCCATATGCCAAATTTCCGAGTGTGGTGTATATTGCTTCTCTTCCTACCTCAGCTCACCATGTAACAGCTATACCAATCGAAGAGTGATTTAGAAACTTTCCTTGGAGAAAAAACAAAGCTTGCTGTTTCCTACAGTTTAGGAGCTTGGGGTGAGGAAAAAAAGTCTGAAAGGTATTTTTGATAAATTAGGAAAACAATGCACCATCTTTTAAGTGCTTCTCCAGACATATTTGCCTATTAAAGATTTTCAAAAGTCCTAGAGTACAGAAATCTGCTTGAATTTTAAAATCTAACATTTCCAAACCTTTAGGTCATGGAAATATACCTTTTCTTTTTGAGATGAGATAAGCTGGCCTTGAACTCACAGCGATCCTCCTGTCTCAGCCTCCCAAGTGCTGGGATTGTACCACCACCCCTGGCTGGAAATACTTCTTCCTGCATACATCGCATACATATTTTCCACAGTATACTAGTTTGGGAAAGTCTGACTCACTTTGATCTTTGCTTTCTTTGGTTCAAAGGGTACCTTTTCACAAAAACAGTTTAGCTTTCAGATGCGCACACACATACACACAGACAGTATTGCTAAGCAAGAAGGATCGATAAAATAATGGGTTGAATGGTGCTAGTGATTGAGTGAGATTCCGATATGGAGATCCATCATGTGTGTTACTTGGTATATAAGATGTATTGTTTGAAGATGTCTGCAACGACATTTAAAAACTTGTCAGAATACTCATGTTGGCTGGCATAGGTTAGAACATCCTGTCGTATCCTTTAAAATTATTGTCCTTATTTTTCACATATTATTTAGAACTTTATGATAGTATATCTCAAAAATTAAAATGATTAACCCAAATACCCATTTCTACTGTATAAATCACTGTTTTATTTCATATGCATGCGCACATATCTTGACACTTTTTTTGATTTCCTAACAGATTTCTAAAGTGAAAAATTCTTACAGCTTTACATCAACAGATTTAATTAAAATGAATGAAAGATGCCAAGAGTCTTTGAGAGAAATTTATCACATGACTTATATGTAAGAACATTTGAAATATTTGAATATTGAATTAAATTGGTTTAATGTGAGGAACCATAGATAAATTTTATTCGTTGACTCTGTCTGATTACAGACAATTACAGAATTATGAATATTAGGGAGGTAAGGTCTATCATTGTGATAAGGACAAATGTGCCTCACAGAAGCTTCAGGGAAAATCTAATTGCAAAAAAAGAAATACCATTGTAAGTTATGCTCCTCTAATATGCACTTCACCATGATGTAGAACTTGGGCTTCCTTCAGTTTATTCTTTTCCTGTGGTGTGTAAGCCCTCAACTTCTCATACGCTCGCATCTCTATAGCAACATCATACTGGGGACAGTTCTTTTACTGTTCACAAAAGAGTAACAATATAGTTAGAAGAATAGAATATTTAGAATTGATGGCTCAGATAACAAAGAGAAAGTTTGGCATTTCAAAACAGGTTCAAGTCATGAACCACAGACATTATAATATGGTAAGTTTTGGGTACATATTTATCCTTAGAGGGGAAAATTACCTAATATCACAGTATAACCTTACCACATAAAGATTTCAGTATTCATATTATTCAGATAGTGTGTGTGAGAAACAGAAAGAGACACACAGATAAAGGATATGTATTGAAGCTAACATTTGTAAAAACAAAATTATTAGCAGATTAGATCTGTCCAAATAGAGTAAGTACTTGATTCAACCTATATAAAATATTTTTATTAATAAGGGATTTTTCTGAATATTTATAAAAGCAGTCATTTCAAGAACATGGTGCTAATACACCAGAAGGTGGATTCTTTGTCACTGAGTAGCTGTGACGTTGAGCAAAAGCTTCAATTTCCTCAAGTCTGAAATGAGACAATTGAACAATAGACTTGACTTGTACAACTTAACCATGAATATTATTTTACCTCAGGAAAAGAGTTTAATATTGTTTTGTAATTATGGTATGTTATTTTTTAAAAGCATTACATGCTTTACCCAACATGTACTTTCAGGGTTGTGTGCAAACTGCTTAGTGAGATATATGAACACATTCACTGCTTATACAAACTCTCTGACACCGTGTCCATGCTGGATATGCTGCTGTCATTTGCTCATGCCTGCACTCTGTCTGACTATGGTAAGGCACTTTCTTTGGAACAAAGATGTTGCATACTGCAATGTATATTCCATTCAAATAATTTGATATAACAGCTATGAATGTTTTACATACTTTACTTAAAATGTAGTCTTTTGCCTATGGCCTAGAATACACAAAATAAAGAGTAAAATTGCCCTTAAAATTTATTTTAACATTCAAAAAATTACTAAAAAATTGACAAATGAAAAAGAAAAACACTGCAAGAAATTTTAAAGGTTTTTCAAAGAAGACTGCAAAGCTGTCTTCTTGGTGAGAATGGCACTGATCCAAATTTATAAAGTTCACATCTGAATACTCACAGGAACAATGTAACAAATCCCAATACAGTGATACCTCAGTGTCTGAATGGCTCCAAGCTTGAACTTTCCACTCTTCGAACAGCAAAGTTCAAAAACAATCTGCTCAGTGTTGAACTCCTCAACAGTTGAACCAAAACCTGTATGGGGCCAGGCATGGTGGCACATGCCTGTAATCCTAGCACTTGGGAGGCTGAGGCGGGAGGATCACTGCACATTCGAGGCCAGCCTGGGCTACATAGTGAGTTCAAGGCCAGCCTGAACTACACAATGAAACCCTGTCTCAGAAAACCAAATACATACATATATACGTACGTATGTACCTATATGGGCCAAAAGTGAGTCATGTGTCACGTCTCATCACGGACACAAAGGGGTGATGTTTCAGTTTGAATGCCACTCTTGCCCAGACAACATAGTGCAGTGATGGTGAACCTTTTAGAGAAGGAGTGCCAAACTGCAACCCCAAGCCCACCTATTTATCACAAAGTCCCAACACTGCAATTAAACCTGAATACTGAGGTTTTAGTTTCGGAAAAAAAAAACACCACTTTACATTAACATCTTTTGTCTTAAAACCGTAGTAACATGATGCATGCCATAGGTTTGCCACCGATATAGTGCTTGTGTAGTTTTGGGGCCTCAGAACCAATTAGTTGATTTTCCATTATTTCTTATGGGAAAAGCATGTTCAGTTCTTGAACTTTTCAGTGTTTAAACATGAATTTGAAATGAATGGAGTTCAACAATGGAGGTATTCACTGTAGAGAGAAATGAGTGTCCACAGTCAGAATTCTCCTCCACTGACTCTTTAGATGTGCAAATACTAAAATCAGGAATGTGTCATTTACTTCTGTATCCTAAGTATATCCACAGGCCTTGAATACAAATGTTAAGTAATTTTTCAATGTTGAAGAGTACTTTAATCAAGTTAGCCCCTTGAAATTTCTTATCCAACTTATAATTAATAACCATATTTTAACATGCAAATTTATAGCCCTAGTATGTGATTGTGCCTGAATAATTGTAGACTTAATAACATTAAAAACACTAAACTCTCTAATTAAAATCAGAAATACCATTTGCAAATTATTATGTTAATTTATTTTTGTAAGACATCTTACAAAGATTTTTTTCACATTTCCATATTTCTTATGGAAATATTAACTTTTCCCACTGGCATTTTATAGACTGAAATCTCTGAATCTTTTTATCTCTTTGGGGTAAAATCATTACCTTAAGGATCAGCTATTCTAGTAGTAGTTTTCTTAACTATTAAGAGATGGAATTGTTCCATTTTAGTTTGAAAGGGATCATACTTAAATTCCAAAATTATAATGAATGTTTGAAAAGCTCTTTATATTTTTTCCAAACATCTTTACTTTTATATTGAATGCTTTCAAGTTTATCCATGAATTTGATTTAGAGGTATGTAGCATTTTAGTTTTCACTTGTTTTTCCACCCTCTTCCTTCTGCCTGTACCTCAGATGGTGTCCATAAAGACCTGATCATTCTTTGTTTCTATAAATTAGCAGATCTTTTGAGTTTGATTTTCTCTGTCATCTGAAATTTCTTTTTACACAAAGTTTCCCCAGGCAATAGGACAAAAAATTATGTTTATATTTGGTTTTGTCCTATATTTAAGCCTCATTCTAAAAGCTAAGCATGCCAAATGTAAAATAATGTTTAAGGTAGGGTAAGCAAATATTTGTTTCTGGAGTAATCATTTGTTATTTTAAAAATAAATCAATGATTATTTGGCTCTTTTTAATCTATACAAATTGGAAATTTTTGTATGCTGTTTTGGATCCCAAGACAGTGACAAGGAGCTAAATTCACATTCTCTGAAGTGAATACAGTAAAAGTGATTAGAATATATCCATTATAATTTAAGGGAATTTAGGTGGTGATTTGGGATTAAATAATGCCTTAATTTTATTGTCTCAAGTTAGCAATGATAAAATCACTAATGCATGTACACTACATACATACCAGAAAATCTTCAGGAATAAAAATATTAATCTTTTAAAATCATCCTATATTTTTCTTCAGTTCGGCCAGAGTTTACCGATACTTTAGCAATCAAACAGGGATGGCATCCCATTCTTGAAAAAATATCTGTGGAAAAACCAGTTGCTAATAATACCTATATAACAGAAGGCAGTAATTTTTTGATCATAACTGGACCAAATATGAGTGGGAAATCCACATATTTAAAGCAGATTGCTCTTTGTCAAATTATGGCCCAGATTGGTAAGTTATGCTTTTACTTTATAGTTATCAACTCAGCTGCTTTTTCAAATTTTACTTTGTGCCAAGATTTTTCAGTCTAAGTACCTAAGAAAAGATTGAAGTAGATTCTCTTATTTTAAGGTATAATAATGTATCTATTATATAGACCATATCTTTTACTAGTGATAGTACTAAAGCTCCATTCAATTTGGATTGCATTTCCAAATTGCAATAGTGTAATATTATTTTGGAATATTATGGAATTAGAAACTTCCTCACTGTAACTATTATTGTTATATCAGTTGTTAACATGCTGAATAACATAATTATTTCAGGTTTAAAAATGATCTTGTTGTGAAAAAATGAAATAAGTAAGATAAGTCACTGCCTTTAATAACCCTTGTAAGATTTCCTCAAAATTATAATTTTAGGCAGAGAAACTTCTCTTAACTTGAGGGGTACCAGTAACAATTGGGGTATTACATGTACTTACAGTATCTGCCTACACATATGTAAAAGGCTATCATTGGCCCAACATTGTCACACATTACTTGATGTCAAAGCATAATTTAACTCCTATCCCTGCAAACTGCGTTTCCTTCAGTACACTATGAATCAAAAATGAGATTCTTGGCCCTGACACAGTGGCTGTTAACCGAGGGTAGTTTGGATTTCTCACCCTTCAGCCCTAGGAACTTGACAATATCTGGAAACACTTTTGGTCGTCACAACTGAGGGAGATGAGCCTAAGAGTGCTGCTAAACATCCTACAATGCATGAGACAGCTTCCTTCTCTCTCCCTTCCCCAATTCACCAGTGTGTCAGAAAGATCAATGAGCCCGTATTGTTAGTAGAGTCATGGGTGAGCAACCCTGGTCTAATGTTATGGATTACAAGGAAACATAGCAACAATATTTGTAATACAGAGCAAAGTTTCCCTTAGTTCTGGGCAAGAAATCAGAAATCAGAGAATAAATGAATGAAGATTAAGTATCTTACTGAATTTAGATTTTTTTTAGAATTAAGAGGACATCTTAGCTACTTTTCTTTTCTTTATAAGAACCGTCTGGTTCATGTATGACCTAATACTACTGTTTCTATTTGAGTAGCTATAAGGAGCTCTGTCTTTTAAAACATAGGCTGTTCAATGTGTAGAAACCATTCATGATATTGAATTGAAATCTGACTTTCCATAACTCATACTTATTAGTACCAATTATTTCCTTCTCTGTATCACAGAATAACCTAATCTTTCTTTCTGATAGCACCTCTTCAAATATTTGAAGATAATTATTCTGCTTCTCTTGTCACTGCCCATTTTAAACCTCTGAAACACCTTAAAATATATATAATATCTCATAAGGTCTTAGAGCTAAGGAAACAGTGGGACTTGAAGGGCATTGAAGTTAACAGTGTAGACTTTTGGAGGTAAATCTGCATTGTCTAGTTGTTAGCTGTATAATCTTAGGCAAATTACTTATCCTCCTTAAGCCTTAGTTTTCCTATCTGCAAATTAAGATGACAGTACTACCTATTTTTAAGAATTGTTATCAGGACAGAGATGATGTATATAATATGCTATGGGTTGAAATATAACATGCTATGAGAAAGGAGAGAACTTTCCAGAAAGATGTAATATTGTGTCCTAAACCATAGGAAAAACAACAAATAGTCCGGAGGCTTTGTAGTTCTTTTGCATTGTTAAGCAAAGAGAAACTGATTAACCATGAGAAGTGGCACAATAGCTGCAGAAACCAATAGAAATTATATCATGAAGGGTCTTAAATACTTAACTGAGGGAACTGAACTTTATCTAGCAATCTATACAGAGATATTGAGGAAATTTAGCAAGAAAGTGTCATGATCAGATTTCACTTAGATTACTCTTGTTGGTTATAGACTAGAAGCAAAACCCCAGCCAGAATCCTTTGAACACAAAGTGTGATAGAAAGATATGGTTAAAGTTTAAATTCAAAAAATTATCACAGTAAAAGATACATTGCCATTAGTCTGCCTCAAAATTCTCCTGTTCACTTTGAACATACTTAGACCATTGTTCTTGCCACTTTCTGAAGCAGTTCATGAAATCCTCTTTCATAAGTGCCTTCAGTTGCACTGTTGTAGCTGCCTTAGTGTCCTGAGTTGATTGAAAGCATTTACCTTTCATCATTTTGACTCTGAGGCAGACCCACAAGTCACATGGTGACACATCTGATGAATAAGGTGAATGAGGACACATTTAATATATTTTGCAGCTTGTCTTTCTGCAGCATTCATGGTACTTTTGATCGCATCTCATAAAGATTTATGAAAGAGGACTTCCAGAAGTAAGTGTGTTTGAAGCAAAGGAGAGTTATTTTGAAGGAGATAACAGTAATGTTTTAATTCAGCATATATTTTGATCATCTCTTGTAGATAAGAAGTGTGGAAGATCTTTTTGGTGGCGGCTAAGAGAGAGGAGATAATACAAACATACCAATTAATAATATATGCAGTATTTTCTGTCACTTTCACATTTATTTTTTCCTTTTAATATTTCTGGAAATCCTGTAAGAAAGTTCTGTTTATGATATCAATAAGTTTTGTTCTCTGAGAACTGAGTTCATGTATGTTTTACTTACCCCAACACATAATAAACCTTTAATAAATATTACATGTCTATATTATGAGGAAGGTCAGGCTCAAAGACTTTCCGACAATCACTCAGTGTTAGTTCTTTGCCTTAGTCTACCCCACTTGCCAGAATAATCCTGACAATTTACTATGCCAGCACTGTTTTCTGTACCTTGCATATATTACTATACATGTATTGCTGATTCATACTCATAAAAATTAATGTCTTACTCTTACATCCATATTGTAGATCAGTAAAGCATTGAGAAATAATTACTCATTATTATTGTCAATGATCATGTAGCTTGCAATGGGAAGCACCAGGATTCAAACCCAGGCAGTCTGACTCTAGAATCTTTGCTCTAAATTAACAAACTGTCCATACTTCAGAATATTAAAAAGGTAGCAAGTCATTTCTGGTATACAGTATTGGAGAAATAGTTTTGTGCCAGACACTTCTGATTCAAATTCTGGCTCTGTGAATTGCTTCATTATTTATTTTTAGCAAACATTTATCATGTGATTGTGATATATCAGAAGCTGCTTTAAGTTTGTAATCCCTGATTTTAAGAAAATTTAAAAAATAGAATAGCACAGAAGAATTACATCTTACTTGTTTTCTTATTCTGAGCCTTCACATGTTCATTGGTAAAATAAGAATTTTAGCAATTTAAGTGGATTATTTTTGAGAATCAGAGAAAATGATTATAAAAATGTCTAAGTATAGGAAAAGTAGGTACAATCATTATAATTACTATTATTATTACTGTTACTTTTGTTAGTCTGACTTTTGGTTTCTTTTCATGCTAATTTTTATTCCTTAGAGCTGGGCTCTATTCTTCATTCTTCCCTTTGTTTTAAATCCCAGAGTAATTTGGCTGTTTCTTTGCTCCAATTATTTAACCATTTTTAATATGCAGAGTTTTATGATACTTTTTTCTTGTTCAACTGTTGTACTATATATTTTATCATTTTATGATATGAGAATGCCTTTTATATCTCATTATGTAGAGAGATGGATACATTAATCAGATTGATTTGTTTTCAAAAGATGAATATTTTAAGTTAGCGTAAGAGCTTCTCCGGTAAAAGCAGCCTTGTGGATGAAAATTTATCTTTTGTATTTTGATTAAATGCTTTACTTTCATTGTGCTTTTGGATATTTTTGCGTATTTGTAATAACATATTTTCTAGTATGTCTTTCTATAATATTTTATCAATTGAGCTAATAGCATTCCTACAAATTGTCATATTTTATAAGCTTTATTCCCTTCAAAATTTATTTTGAATGTTATTATTTATCATTTAAGAATATCATTTAAAATTTGTATTACATTTAAAATAATCTATTTCTGATGTAAACACTATCTTATTTGAACTTCCAAATGACTTTGTACAGTAGGTAGGACAACAGTTCTCATTTTAGCAATGAGAAAGATGAGACTGAGAGAGTGTAAGTGATGTTCAAGGTTATGGAATTAGTGGTAGAGGTGAGGCCACATTTTAACTCCATATCCATTGCTCTTTCCAACCACACAATTTGAGTAACTAAACTATGAAGTGCAAAATGTTGTTAATACCTATTTTTTAAAAGTATTTCAGTTTATTTTGAGTTTATATTTTACAGGATCCTATGTTCCAGCAGAATATTCTTCCTTTAGAATTGCTGAACAGATTTTTACAAGAATCAGCACTGATGATGATATTGAAACAAATTCATCAACATTTATGAAGGAAATGAAAGAGGTACACAAAATTTTTCTTATGCCAACATTAAAATTTTACATTAATGGTCAATTATCGTGTAAGAACGTTTCTATGTATTAAAACTTGCTGATGAGCTTATACTCCTTCTGAGAGCCAGAGGGCAGTCAAAGACAGCTTCCTGATTTCTGTCTTAGGTGGAAATGGTGGTGAATATTTTATGAAAAATATAATTTTAAAAAGGAAAAACTAGTGTTATTGAATGATAGAAGTGTGCTTACATGTTTTTATATGGAATATTTAAAAGGCTTTTCAGAAAACAATGATGTATTCAGTACCATTTTGCATTGTATCTATTGTCACTCTTAGGCTTGTTTTTAAAATAAAAGATAACTATTAGAAATCTTTAAAAAACCATTCTCATTTTTTGTCTTTAGAAGTTTCACTTTTTTTACCAGAATATATGTCTTTCCCTATTTCTGATCTCAGAAAACATCGAGTAGGCTTGAGGGCTAAAGGAATTAAGTATGGCTCTCGGAACAACTGTATTAAATAGGAATTATTGGGCTATTGTACAGTTGAGTAATTTTCTGCAACTAGAAAGAAGATGCATAAAATTATTTGTCACACAATTTATAAAATTAGTATTGTGAGTGTCTCTGTGGGAATAGAGCAATACTTGAGATACATTTTTAAATGATTCTAGCATTTAAGAAGCTTGGTCCTAGAGAAAGGTAAAGTGTTTATTAAAGTTACTATTGTGTTAGAATATAATACGGGTGGAATTCTATGTTTTATTTTTAAGAGTAGGAAAAATTTATTGAGAGAAACATAGCTTCTGTCTAAGAGAGACAGAATGGGTACTGGAAAATGGGTTGCCTCTGGAATTCTATCTTTTGAGAAAGGAGTTAATATTCTTTAGGGAGGAAGGAGCATTTATGTTAATTTAATTCTTAGTCTTTGTGGTTATGGACTTAAATTTATTTGGTAAACAAAGAATTACTAAGACATGGATACTTAAATTTTCTTTCTTTCTTCATTGGCTATAGAGTGGTAGTAAATGTGATAGTAAATTTGTAAAATGGTTTTGAGTATTTTCATGATAGTGATTTGTGGAGGAGAAAATGACCATCTTTTGCTTTATTTAAACATTTAACACACTGCTTTGTTTTATTTCACTATATCTAAAACATCAATAATTTAGATAATGATTATTTACTCTTTGTTGTCTCATATACATGCGCATATGTCTATAGCCTTTATTCTTTCAGAATTATTAGTAATGAGATTCTGAGAAAGAAAGGCAGTGAGTTATTTTCTGCTCAGCAGGATTTCTCTATTAAAATACATTTCAGATGAACTAATGAAGAGACTGAGTTTCTCCTCAGTTTTTTCTATGAAGTGACAGCTGTTTGGTTATAATGAATAATAGTAAAATTATATTTTTCAGATAGCATACATTCTGCATAATGCCAATCACAAATCACTCATATTAATTGATGAACTTGGCAGAGGTACTAATACAGAAGAAGGCATTGGCATTTGTTATGCTGTTTGTGAATATCTGCTGAGCTTAAAGGTATGCATCCCCATTTATTTTAAGTGGATTAAATTTTAGTCCTCTTTTGATGTATAACATATATATTTATCATGTTGTATCTTCCAGGCACCAAAATAGCTTTTAAAACAATTTTAGATAGGAAATGCATAGTATTTCTATTTTTGGTACTGTAGTTCTCATTGAAGTTGAAATAATACGGCAGCCATGACATAGATAAGGAAAGAGAAAATCAAGAAATACAAATGTAAACATTGGTTGGCTTTAATTAATCAAATTAAATAGCAAAATATGAAGGGATTTTAATAACTTCCCATATATAATAATGTCTATGATGTCACAACATGAATTAAAGCTCTAGGCATCTTAGATAGCTTTGAAACAAGTCTATTCTACATACTTGAAATTGTATTACTTTAAAGAAAACAGTTTTTCACAAAACAATTATATAAAACAATGATTTTTTGCTCTATTTTTAAACTAATTTGTAAGATGATCTTTTCAGATCACTCAGAATACATATACATATGAAAAAGAGATATTTTTTCGTATTTAAAATACCTTAAAATGTCTAAGGTGGAGCTATTTACCTTAAGTGATAGTTTGCAATGATTCATTATATAGAATGAGAAAAAATATTTTATACTTAAAGAAAAATATGTGATTAATAATAAATAATGTTAGCAAATAATGTTAGTTTTTGTGATTTTTGAATGTCAGTTTCTCATTTACATAAGATGCTGCACTACTTAAGACTGAAAGCTAATTTGTATCTAGGATTATTAATTTTATGTGTCAATATGATCAGACCATTGAGTACCCAGGCATTTGATCAAACATTTATCTGGATCTGTCTGTCAGACTGTTTCTGGAAGAAAAAACAGTTGAATTATGTGAGGAGGCTTTAGCCAACATATGAAAAGCCTAAACAGAACAACAAGTGTAATTCTCCAGAGTAAGAAGGAACTTCCTGCCTGACTGCCTTTAATGTGCAAAGTTGGTTCATTTCTACCCTCAGAATCAAACTGAAACATCAACCCTTTCAAGTGCTCAAGACTGTTGGCATTCTGGACTAGAATACATCAAATACATCATCACACTCCTGGATGTAGATCTTGGAAGTTATCAGCCTCCATAATTATAAGCCAATTCCTTACAATGAATCTCTATGCATAAATACTATTGATTCTCTTTCTCTGGAGAACCCCAAATGCAGATTTTGGTTCTGTAGGGATTTGACAATAAAGACACAAAATATTATTGAGTACTTTTAGCCATTTATAAGCAAAGATCCAGGGTGACTAATTATGACACTTTTGAACATTTTTTGGCAAACTAATGAATGAGATTGGCTAGTTGCTCCTAATGTCACTAGACAAAACAGAAAAAGAAAAAGTTGACCCCAAGAATTTGTTATTCCTAGCTTATTGCTACATAAATGACCCCCAAACTTCTGTATGTGCTCTGGAGACTCTTATCTCCCATAGCCACAAGGCTAAAATTGCATAGAATGAAATTCAGACTCTTATCCTGTGACTGCCTAAATTATAGCATAAATTGAACTTTTAGTATTGTAGATTGTCCACTGTTAAAGTGAGGGTACTAGTTGGGAAGGTATGGGACACTGAAAGTTGTAATGGGGATATTTCGGAAAACTTTGATAATGCCTCTAATTTCTGATGTTTCCTTTGCCCATACAAAATATCTCTCCATTCCTGATGGAAGTACCTCCTCATGCAGTCTGAGGGAATTGACCTAATATTACCTGAGGGAACTCTAATGATTTTCTCCAAAGTAGCTTCAATGCAAAAACTGCTAAGTCTCTTGAAGACTCACTCCTACCACTCCTCTTTGCTTCTTTCTAGATGTATATTGAAAGTCAAGACCTAGCAAGTCCTAAAGATGAGGTATAAACTGTGATTCATGAGGAGGTACATTATACTCCAAAAGAACTATTTGAATTTTCTAGTTTTCTTAGTGATATGAAGAGGAGCCTCATTATTATTTATTCTGTATTTAGTTTTTGTTTTGATTTTTTCAGTTCTTATTTTTTTATAAGTACACATTTGCATTACATAATGATTACATTCCTCAAATGACTAAAACTAGAAATTCCATTTGACCCAGCTATTCATCTTTTAGGTATCTTCTTGACTTTTCTAGTTTATACAGATAGAAATTCAAGGAACAGGTATGGGCATGGATATTAAGAATGTATAATAATGGTGGAAAAAACATAAAATTGAGTCATGTGAATTTATGTGTCTTCATTACTTTTCTCATTACTGAGACAGAATACTCAACAGCCAAAGTTAAAGGAAGAAAGGTTTATTTAGCTCACAATCTGTAGAGATTTCATTTCATAGTTGGCTGGCTCCAAGGGAGAGTGACATTGCAGAGGAGAAACAGTTTATGGTGGGCAGAAGGCAGCAGAGTAGTGAAGAAACAAAGTAGCAGGCAGCAAGTGACAAGTGAGAAGCAATGACAACAGCAGGCCTCCTTCTGTCTCTTATATTTTATCCAGGCTACTCGCCCTTAGGGTGAGCAGCACTTACATCCTTAATCCTAGCATCACACCATTGACCAATCCCAGAATCACATCCTTGATCCTAGCATCCCACAGCCTAAATCCAGACACCTCTGAAAAGCCCCACCTATGACTGACCACATCAGGCTTTGGGGGGACATCTAGATACAAGCCGTAACCTTATTGATATGGACTCACTAAATAGAGTTTGTATTTAATGTTGCAACTCAAGAGAGTTAGAAAGGGCTCTAACAGTTTGCTTCGTTGATTGACTGAAACAAACCAACAGGTGGTCCATTATGAGTGAGTTTGAAATACTGGAAGGGCTTTGGTTTAATGTTGAGAAAGAGATTCAAAACTTAGGAAGATTGGAATGTTAAAGTAGATTTGTCATTTGATATCTATTTACCCATTCTGGGTGACCCCAAATACTTTGTACCATGAATGGGAAGTGAATGTATAAGGAGAGCCCTGCCATCCTTGAAAGCTCTATTATTTCTTTTCTCTGTAGGCCAGACCTTACAGTGTGAACTGTGGTCTCTGAATTGGGAAACCTAAATGTAACAGGAATAATTGGATTCAAGGGTGGTAGAGACCAAGTAGTGACACTTAACCACCAAAGGTGAATAAAGTTACTGTATGGACAGCAGAGTCAGAGCAACAACCAGAATAGTCTGACTTGCCCAGATTTATGCCACTGTCTAGTTAATCATGGAGTCTTTAAAAATGAAATAAATAGGAACCCTACTAAGTTATTATTTGGTCTACATAAACAGAGAAGTTCTATGTCAAGTAAACAAAAATCTAACCTGAATAAAAACAACTATAACCACTCAATAAACTTTCTCTTGAGTCAGATTATAGACCCAGAGTCCCTTGAATGAAGGAGAATATGGGTCCTCTTGAGGAAGGACCCTGGTATGTAACCAAAACTTTTTACAATCATCTCTCAGCATCTGTAGGGTACTGGTTCTAAGAAGCCTCAAGAATACCAAAATCTTGGGCCTGGGATTCAGCTCAGTGGCACCACACCTGCCTCGCAAACGAAAGGTCCTGAGTTCGATCCCCAGTACCAAAAAAAAGAATACCCAAATCTACAAATACTCAAGTCCCTTATATAGAAGTGTCATATTTGCATGTACCATATCTCTAGATTATGCACAATACTTAATATGGCATAATGCTATGTAAATATTTGCTATTTTGTATTGTTTAGGGAATTATGATAAGAAAAGTCTGTACATGTCTAATACACATCCAGCCTTTTCTCGTGTGTTTTCTATCTGTGGTAGGTTGAATACATGGATGTGGGACCTGCAGCTATGGAAGGACAACTACTGTTACTCTTTCTCCTAGCCTTCCCCAAAGTGACCCATAGCCTTTACCAGGGCAACTTTATACTGGAGAAAGGAAATAAAATCAGATTTAAAAGAACTGCTACAGTCTGAACTGACACTCATTCAAGGAGACTCAAACTATCACTGAGTCAGAGTAGGGAGCTAGGGCAGTCAGGGGATCAATGGAATTTTAGCTCAAGTCTATCTCTTAGTGGGCCCAGTGTGCCCCCCAGAACATCCTGTGGTTATTTCTCCAGTCCCAGAATGTATAATTAGAATAGATGTGGCTTAACAGCTGGAAAAATTTTCCCAACCTGTGGATTGATGGGAATTATGGTGGAAAAGGCCAAATGGAAGCTAATAGAATTGCTTCATGCTGTGTTTGGTAAGTGTCCCCCAAAGGGCCCCATGTCCCCAGCTCATGGCACTATTGTAACACTGTGGGGTCTTTAAGAGGTAGGGCCTAGTGGAAGGAAGTTCATTGGGGTTGTGACCTTGAAGAAAATATTGGGACCCTGCCCCCACTTCCTTTCTCTTTACTTTCCACGCACTATGAGGGGAACAGCTTCCTCTGCCACACACTGTCAGCATAATGTACTGCCTTGCCACAGGCCCAAAACCATGGGCCACTGATCATTGGCTGAAACCTCTAAAACAGCTTAAAGAAACCTTTTCTTTTTATAAGAATAAACTTGGTTGCCTCGGGTATTGTATTATATAATGGAAAGCTGATTCCTTAGGGTGTCTGTTAGTGTTTTGGTCTGTGACTAAGGTCAGTGGAAACTAGAGCAGCCCAATCCAGGCAGGACTGTGAATGGCCAAGGCTCTTCAGGATGAAAATTTGGGTCACACCACTAGGTAAAGAACTATGAACAGATAAAGTGCTTGCTGAAGCTGAAGGGTAACAGAACATGTAGTAGAAGCAGCCATAGCCACATTATCAGTTACAGAAATGAGGACTTCAATTATGATTCTTTCTTCTTTTTTGTTATAAATGTTTGTATATGTATTATATATTAAGTAAATATTTTTGTTTTCTTTTTGCTCATATTCTCTATCATGGAACTTAAGATGTATTGACTTTATATCATAGTACTTTAGTATTGCTAATGCTACTTTACATTATAGTTTTGTTTGTTTGTTTCTCTCTTTCTTTCTGTGCTGAAGATTGAACTCAGAGCCTTGTGTGTACTACAGTTGCATTCTACCACTAAGCTACATCTCTAGCCCTCACCATAATTTTTAAATTATGAGATATCAAAGAAAAAAATAAGCTTCACTCAAGGATTTTATCTCCTCTTTTGGGAAAGGGGCTAATGCATTCTTGGTAAAACTATGACCTTGTTATTGTCTTCATTTGGAGATTGAGTGGTGTAAAGAAATGTGTATAGGTGTGGATCTGACAGAAGTGGACTTGTTATGTATCAACTTGACTGGGCCACAGGTGCTGGGGCATTTGGCTAAACATTCTTCTGGTGTGTTTGTGAAGGTGTTTCTGGGAGAGATTAACATTTGAAGTGTTGACTGAGAAAAGCAGATGGCTCTTCCCATTGTGGGTAAGTTTCATCTAACAAACTGAAAGCCTAAACAGACTGACTCTTCCAGAGTCAATAGACACTCCTGTCTGACTGCCTTCAATCTGGAAGTTGGGTTCTTTCCTGCTTTCAGACTGGAAAATCTGCTCATCTGCTCTTTCTAGACCTGAAGCCTGCTGTCATTCACACTAGAATTATGTCATTGATTCTCCTGATCTTCAGCTCACAAACTGCAGATCTTAAAACTTGTCAGCTTTTATGGTTATGAGCCAACTTCTTATAAGTTTGTTTATACAGATGCGCGCGCACGCACACACACACACACACACACACACACACATTCTTTTTCTTTGGAGAACTCAAATAGTATATAATATTTCATCTCTGGTATGATACAATAGCTAACAATAATGGTTTTCGTGAATATCTTTTTTGTAGTATAAATAATACAGTAATAAATATCCAATATTGCTACTTTTAAGGATCTTGAAGTTTACTATTTTTCTAACCTAGTGTCCTTAGATGTCAACACAATACTTGCAATGTATAGACACTGAGTAACTATTTGTTAAATGGAACTAATATGAAATAGGAGTTCAAAATTTGGTTTGATACATAATTTGGGAGGCCACTACTGTGATTGAATGTGGTCCCTGGCCTCTACATAGTTCACTCCAGAGAGCAAGAATTGCCAGTCTTGTTCTTCTTATCGACTTGACCTCGTGACAACTCACTCCATGAGACGGGCATTAATTCCTTCCAGGAGCCCCCCCGCCCCCCGCCCCGTGAGCTAATCACCTCCCAGTAAGCCCCATCTCTTAAAGATTCATTATGTCTCAACAGTGCCACACTGAGGACCAAGCTTCCAACAGTTCGTCCATGGAAAACATGCTCAAACCATATCCAAGCCCTAGCAAGAAGATAGTTGAGAATTTTCATTTTTCTGTCATGTATATAACACCTTTCTTGCCTTTGCTTCTAGTCTTCTATGTTGAGCTATTTTGCCAGGAAAATATCTTCGTTTTATAGTCTTAATATTTAACTAACAATTATCCATTGATTTAGTTTCTCATTGGTAATGTCGTAAAACATCATATCTCTGTTTTCTTTAGTAACAGTAAAACTTTGGTGAACTTTGCCCTGACTTCGACCCCCAGTACCATCAAGTGAATAAATAAATGATAGAAAACAAACAGAACTCTCCCACAACTTTGGGAATTTCAAATACCTGATATAACCTGTTGATCACACTTTACAAAACTTCTTACAGGGAGGGAAATTACTTTCAAAGTGGCTTTAAAAAGTTGAAGGAAATATCAGGATTATGTTTATATGTGTGTGTGGAATACCTTTGCTAATAAATGACTGCCTCAGTTAATAGCTTTATATGTCTGATAAACTTGTTTTCATATCTTAAGATATATTTCTTATGATTTACTTTTAGATTTATTCTTTCCTACAGTGTAAATTTGTAACTGTCCAAACGTAATCATATGTTACTTCATTACAATGAAATTTCAAAACACTTTAAAATGGATTGATCACGTTAGCCTCCAACTGTAGTTTTATTCCTATGTTTCTGCCAAGCTACTTGGAAAATTAAAGTTTTAGGTCTATATAATAGCTGAGATATAATTTTCTAGTTCATTTAAAAAGCACTAATATCCATTGTCTGTTTCATGTTCTAGGCATTTACACTGTTTGCTACACATTTCCTGGAACTTTGTCATATCGATGTCCTGTATCCTAATGTAGAAAACATGCATTTTGAAGTTCAGCATGTAAAGAACACCTCAAGAAATAAAGAAGCAATTTTGTATACCTACAAACTTTCTAAGGGACTTACAGAAGAAAAAAATTATGGTATTGAATATAGAAATTATACGTATACCTTGGACCTGGGGCTGTAGCTTAGTGCTATATCACTTGCCTAAGCATGTGCAAAGCCTTGGATTTGATCCCCAGTGCCACAAAACAAAGGAATGTTGAAACACTACATGTTTTCCTAAGACAAACTTTCTTCTCCCCTATATTGCCATCAATCTAAGGAACTCTCATTTTTTCTATATATATATATATATATGTGTGTGTGTGTGTGTATGTATATATGTATATTCTCAGACTATATTTTCTTGTCAAACTCACATTTTATAAACATATATGTTGGTGCCTGAATCCATTCAAAGTATTTTCGTTTTATAGTCATTTTGACCTTAGGGAAGAGACAGAAGTCACATGGTGCCAGATCTGGTGAATAAGGTGGAAAAAGACATACCGTAATATTTTTGTTAGAAATTTCCATGAAACATTTGATCAACAAAGGGTGACCAAAACATACGCTGAATGTTTAAATTTTTAAATATCTTACAGTTAAAGCCACCATGCCATTAATTCCCCTTAAATATTCAAAATATTCCCCTTGCTTCAAACACACTTACCTATCATTCTTGGTAATGTGTCTTTTACTGCAACAGTTTTTAAAACTTATCATTCACCAAATCTTTTTATCACCCCCCCGTGTTGGTAAATACTATATAAACTGTTGACACTCGGCAGAAAGCCTATATGGCATTTATACAATAAAATTAAATTCCAAAAATGCGAGAATAATTGCTGATACTTTGAATTTGCATAAAGATTAGTCATCTACCATTGTATCTTCTGAGAAATCCCAGGCTCATTGATCTGCTAGACAGAGAATGTTCAGCTGTAGGGCTACTTCTACGACTATACATTCTTCTCCCCTGAAAACTAGCACAGTAAACCCCTCTACCTTCCATTAACCAGTTGTATTTGCAATTGAAATTTTAATGTCATTTTACCTAACTTTCTTTCTTTCTTTCTTTCTTTCTTTCTTTCTTTCTTTCTTTCTTTCTTTCTTTCTTTCAACTCAGGTATTTTGAGAGGTAATTTGCCTTCTATGTTTTAGACATGTAATGAAATCTAATATTTGGTAAGTTTTCGAAAACGTAATTTTAAAAATTATTGAATTGTTTAGAAATGCTTCTAGAAGGGAAATTCAAATCTATGAAGATTAATATTTGTTGAAACAAACAAAAAACTAGCAATAACAATATTGAAATTTTTAAAATATGATTTTAGGATTAAAAGCTGCAGAGGTGTCATCACTTCCACTGTCAATTGTCTTGGATGCCAAAGAAATCACAACTCAAATTACAAGACAAATTTTGGTAAAAACTTTTTAGTAAGAATTGTTTTAAAGGGGCCGGGGATTTAGCTCAGTGGTTCTGATACCTGCCTCACAAGCACAAGGTCCAGAGTTCGATCCCCAGTACCAAAAAACAAAAAACAACAACAAAAAAAGAATTGTTTTAAAATTAAATTACCTTCAGTGAACATTTTATGAAGTTTGATCTAAATATAATAATTTATAAACCTAATTCCTAATTTATATAGGCAAAGAAATCCCTTTTACATTTTAAAACTTTTTTTGGCTTGGTCTATTATAACTCTTCCTAGCAAGACAGCTAATAAGATAGGAGTTAAAAGTTAAATTCAATTTCCTACAGTAATTCTTGATAACTATTTTTAAAATGAGAAAACAAATGTATTTAAAATAGGCATTTTCTGGGTGTGGTGATGTACACCTCTAATCCCAGCAATTGGGAGTCTGAGGCAGGAGAGTTGCTGTGAGTTCAAGGTCGGACTGGGCTACATAGTGAGTTCAAGGACTGCAAAAACAAAACAAAACAATAAATAAAATGGGCATTAAAATAATAATCTCTATGCACAACATAATGCATAGTTTTTTGGGGTTTTTTAGTAGTTGTCCAGGCTCTTCTTTCCATTATCATTTGGAACCCTCATATCTCTTCATGAAGTAGTTAGGCCTTTCTAGTAAATAGTAACTAATAAAACTGATATTTTTATTCTCATGTTTACCAGTTCACAGACATTAAGTGATTTGCTAGGAAGTCATGGGCCCAGCCTGAAATCATATCTCTTGATTCAAAATTTGGAAATCTTTTTTCTAAATTAGGTTACTTTATAGTGTTTTAAAAATCCAGTGTATTTAGTAAACTGAGGTAGGTACAATATGAAATTTTCTTCAGTAATAGTCTTTTTCCTCCTTTGTTTTCCTGGACTGTCTATGTGACTTCTCATGCATAACACCAATTTGAATCCCTTCTTCAGCAATTTTGACAGTGCTCGTCTTCAAAGTACTGCTCATTACCTAATTCTTCAGATTTCATCTTGCCAAATTCCAATTATAGGGCACCTCTCCACTAGTCTCCTAGGCTTTGGCTTTCCTAATGTTGTTAAAAAATATTCAAAACAAGCTAATTTTAATCTGCTATGAATTCATAAATTCTCACTTTAGATGAATTATTTTTTGTACCGGGAATTGAACTCGAAACCTTGTGCTTGCAAGGCAGGTGGTGGAACCACTGAACGAAATCCCTGACCCTTTGGATGAATATTTTATTGGATAATTGTTTCTCTTCTCATTGATCTCTATGTCTATTTTATAGCATCTCTTTCTTTCAAAACATTTCCACTCTTTCTGCCCTAATTCTCTAGATAGTTTACTATACTTTTTAAGAAACTTGAAATTATCTCAATGAGTCCTTTTGCAGAATTCCTGCAGAATTTTGTTTGGCAAATTTCTGTTTCCCATCTTTCCTCCCTCCTATCTTAGGGCAAGAAATTGCTTTTTCAGTCATTTTAAGGTTAACTTCTTTCATTTTCCATTAAGACATTATTTCTCAGTTTCCTTCTTTTCTTTTTCTTCCTTATTTTCTTCACTGGATTTTCCTTTTTCTGTGAATATGCTTATGTTTTTTCCCCAATAAATCTTTCTTTTTTGCACCTTACTTTTTAAACTGTTATCCTATTGCTGTCTTTACTGTAAATGTAAAGCTGATCTGTACTTGCCTATTCCATTACCCACTTGCAAACTTAATCTTGTCATCCCCCACTGAAACTTTTCTTCTTAGATCCCAACTAGTCAAAAGCTCTTGTAGCCCCCTTGCCCCTTTTTTTCTCATTTCTCATTTTCCCTAAGCTGTGGCACTGGATGTTCCCATTCTTTCCCCTTGCTTAATTCTGCCCTGTTTTGTCTGCTCAGGAATTATTCTTTCCTGGAATTTATCTTCCTACCTCATTGATTTTTTTTCTTCTTTCCCATCTTTACCAGTGCCTTTTCTTTTTCCACTCACTACATATAAGTGTTTCTAAGATGTTTACCCTTGTTTCCTTTTTTTAAAATCTGTGGTCTTGATGTTCTCATTCTTTTCATGACTTCCATTGTCTTTTTTTCCCTGAACTCTCCATATTTCTCCTTGACATCTTACTCTTTTTTTTAGGTCAAAAACTGAATTTTCATTCTCTGAAAAAGCCTTCTAACTCTTCATTTTTAAGTCTCCAAGTGACTCATCAGAGTCATCTATATATACTTTCATTTAATCCCCTCTCATTAGTGCTACACAGTAAGTTTTCTCTCTTTTCCAGTCCCTCCTACACACTTCTACCAGACTGTTCCCAATATATAGTTCTTGCTGTTTGCCTACTTAGAACAAATAAGTGTTGAAATCTTTAACATAGTGTTAAAAGTCTTCTATAATTATTTTTTGAACTATAGTTTTAGAGCTACCTACATTAGAATCACCTAGGATACTGAACCATCCTATATTTTCAAAGTTCTGTTGTGGCTCAGAATTTGTGTTTTTCCCAATTCTCAGATGACTCTAACATTAGTTAATTTTTGCTTGATGATCACCTCTACGTCACTCCAACCTTATATCACATCACTTAAGTTTTGCATAATTTACATTTCTGTTACATTTAACTGTCATTTTATCATTTCAACCTGATTGTGTACCAGGCTCTCTAATATGTGTCTTCTAATTGTTTTTCTTTTTCATCCAGAATACCCTTCCTTCTAGACTCTTCTATCCATTGGGTTTATTCCAAATACTCCATTTTATTCAAACCTTTCTTGATCTGTGCTGGAAGTGAGAGGCCCTCCTGTGTGCATTAATATCTCTCTTATGAGAGTTTTCATAAATACTGTAGTCAGTTGTTTATAAACAAACCATTTTGCCAGAAGATTGTAAACTCCTTGAGTTCTGTTACTATGTGAAGTATACAGTTTTCTACCCTCCAGAGACACATAAAAACACAAACTTGGTGGCCCAGCACATAGATAATAATAGATATTCAATAACTCTAATAGAAATAATGGTTAAATTGGTAATTGATAAATGTATCAAATAGGTGAAAGGTGAATATATGATAATGTTTGTCCACCTCATGAAATCATACTCATTTTTCCTATAGTGAAAATAGAAAAATATTCAGAATTGCTTGCTATTGAGAAAGAGTTGATGAGATTATATTTATGGGAAATTCAGTAAGATTTTCCACCAATAGTGAAGGTTGAAAATTTTGTCCTCTATCTAGCTCAGACAAAGATATGAATTAAGAATTTTCCAACTGTATTCCTAATCATGATACTCTTCAAGAACTGCATATCTAAAGGCCTTCAACATTCCCATTTTACATATTATTTCATAGGTATCGTTAAGTATGGGTTGTTAAAATTAAAGGCATACTTTCAAATAGCTATTTATGTTTTTAGTTTTAAAATATATTTTACCCTTCAGACAGTATTTCCTCTTAGGCTCCAACAATTGCCACACACAAACCCTCTTTAGAGGTAAGCAGTTTTCAATTGATCTGTTCTGTCCACCAGTTTATCTGATAAGAAGTTAAAGTGGGAGATAACAGAGTAGTATCCTTGGGTGACATTTAAAATTATGATCACTGTGTGGCAACAAACTGTGCTGCTTTCTCACACCATTTTGAATGAAAGGTTTTTTTAAGAACCTATCTCTATTGGATTGTCTATTATTTTTGGTACAGTGTTGAGAAATTTGGTATTGTGATGTGGAATTTGGCCTATTCAGTGATTTTTTGTTTGCAAATAATTGATTTTAAGTTATGTCATAAAGTAGTAAGGGCTCATGAGGAATTTTATTCACACAAATATAATTTCTTCCAGTTGTATTTTTTGCTAGTTGGATTGAACTGGTTTATCTAAAGGGATTACTTAATCCTTGAGTCCCACATTTCTATAAAAGGAAATAGGATAGTGCCAAACTGTGATGAACATAAAAGTCACAGTGTTTATTTTTAAATTTGCATATATTTTTAATAACAGCACAACCAAAGGAGTACCCCTGAGATGGAAAGACAGAGAGCTGTGTACCATCTAGCAACCAGACTTGTTCAAGCTGCTCGAAACTCTCGATTGGATCCAGACAGTTTACGAATGTATTTAAGTAAGCTCAAGAAGAAGTATGAAGAAGATCTTTCCAGGGCTGAACAAGTTTCAGAAAAGACTGAAGAATAATAATTTACATCTTGTACTATTGAAATAATATATTTTAATATGAGGAAACTAGAATTTATCTCCTGAGAGCAAAAGACAATATTTTCTAAATTTTATATTTGAATTAAAAATTATATTAATATCAGTATTTTCATTTGTGTATATATCCTACATGAGAATATTTGTTATTATTACTTAATAAATAAGAACTATTTAAAGAAATATCTTTTGGGGTCGGGGATTTAGCTCAGTGGCACCACGCCTGCCTTGCAAGTGCAAGATCCTGAGTTCAATCCCTAGTACCAGGGGAAAAAAACGTGTAGAAATATCTTTTGTTAGGAAAAAAAGTATAATGCACCACATTTTTGTCATTTATGACAGTTCACATTAACTCTTAAGTTTATTTATACTTAGAAGTTATAGTTCAAAATATTATTGTAAATACCTTAATTACCTTACTTTTACAGTCTGGAAACTTAGTTGAGGGATTTGTGTGTGTTTTATATTATCTTCTAAAGTAACAACATCCTATGATTCAAAAATTTCTGAATTATTTACCCCCAAATTCCAACACTGAATGGTTCTAAAGTTTGTTAGAGTAATCCTGGGCATTAAAAAATAACATATTCAGTGTGTTTCTAAAGGTTGAAAATAAAGAAATAGGTATTTTGTAATGCAGGCAGTAATCCTGGAAGACGGGGTCATCACCACCAACCCTTTCAGTTTTTCAGATACTGTATCTAGGAGATCAATTGTCTAACCCTTGACTTCCTCCTTTTTCTTAATTTTCATTTTTGTCTGTTTTTATTAAGTAAACAAAGGCAGCAGAAAGACAACATTGATTTGATTTTTTGGCTCAGTTGTTGGTTCACAAGGAAGCATTTCATAGAGCTGTTTGTTTCATAGGCATGTGAATTATATCACTATTTCAGTTTAGTGTTTACTCAAGGTCATTCTTGCTTTGTAAATGGGCAAAACGAAGCAGAAGACCACCCGTTATTGGGTAACTGGAAAGAGCTTTTATTTTCTCAAACATCTTCTATAATTCCGTTTAGTAGGTGACTTACTTGCATAAACCTTACTCTTTTTTTTTTTTTTTTTTGGTACTGGGGATCGAACTCGGGTCCTTACGCTTGCGTAGCAGGCAGCGAAACCACTGAGCTAAATCCCCGGCCCCTATAAACCTTACTCTTTTCTTGGGCAACTAAGTATCTGGAATTTAGGATATACATTTGAACTATTTATTCAATAACTATAGTATTCAGAGTAATTTGGCCAACAAAATTATTCACAGACTGATTAATGTTAATTTTTGGTTAATATATGCATATTATATTTTACAACATTTAATGTTCATATTTATTGACTTAAACTCATTAGCATTGTACTATTAGTCACTAGATATATTGAAAAATTAGAATGGATATGACATACATGCTTTATGAAAAAGTAAATGTGTTTTACATTCAATATATGTTAAATGTCTTGTTAGAGTACTTGTATCCCTTATTGTTATGTTTTAGAAAGACAATATCACTGGAATATCACCATTAGGCACATTTTAATGCACAGCTTTTGCGATGAATTATACTTCATGTGTTGTTTTTAAAACCCACTAGATAACTGGGGTTGTGGCAAATTTCTAGAAGGCACTGATTAAGAATGAGTCGTGACATATTGGGAAATAAAAAGGAGAAAACAATATAAGGCAGAAGTGGAATAGGCAGTAGAAGAAAAGCAGGCAAGCAGAGACAGGTACCAAGTGTCAAATATGCTAACATTTCCCCAAATACTACATTAACTTCCATTTAGATTTAATCCCAGTGTTGGATTTCATTAGACTTTTAAGAGTTTTTCATCAATTCAAGCATTTTTTGCAAAAATTGCAGCCAACCAATTAATCCTTTTTATTTTATATTTGAGATTCTGAAATAAAAATAAGTTTATATCTTCTTAAAATTAAAGTACATTTTCTTAAACTTTTAAGTGTAGCAGAAACATACAAAAAAGCAAATCAAATAAAGACGTAATTATTATGTCATGAACAAAGGTGAACAGTAGGGAGAAAATCCATTCAATTTTAAAATCTGTTTACTTTTCATTTTTTTCTTTGCCTTTCTCTACTATTACAGATCATTATCTTATAATTCAGCCTCTCAACATGAATTCTGTAACGTCTTAGAAAACTTTTAAACTTTCTACTTCAAAGCTATTTTACTTCTACCTTTTGCTCACGGGATAAGATCCTACATGAAAGGCAGTCTGTTCATGTCTGGAAGTAAAGCATATGGAGATGGAAGAGAAAGGAAGCTTATTTTCATGCCTAGAATGTACAGTCATACCTTGGTACTGCATGCAAATTTTGACCCACTGCTAGTCATTCGTTTGGTACTTGACACACACGCTACAACTTGTCAGTGTGGACTGACTCATGACTCGCTACCCTTTCCAGCCCAACAATTTGTACTCATTTTTGGTACTCAGCATGCCTCCTAGAATCAATTAAAGATGAGTACTTAGGTGCCACTGTTACACATTTACTTTAAATTGTATATATAGTAAAATTAACTTTTTAATGTCCAGTTTTATGAATTTTAGCATACCTCTGTAATCATAACCAGCATCAGGGTATGAAAGCATTCCATCATCGCAAAGGATTACCTTGATGTTTGTCCCCAACTTCAACCCACCATTCACAGATCTGCTTTCTTTCACTGTAGTTCTTTCTTTCTCCAGTATGTTCAGTGGATGGAATCATATGGTATACAACCTTTGAAAAAGAGTTTCTTTCACTTTTAGATTTATCTTGTTGTTGTGCCTTTTTTTTTGCTGATGTGTTACATTGTGTGGATATGCCAGTTTGTTTACCATTCATTTGTTGAAGGACATTTGAGTTTTCAGTTTTCAGTGATTATGAAGTTACTATGATCCTTACTGTACAGGTTTTTGTGGGAGCATAATTTTTCATTTATCTATATTAAGTAGGAATAAAATAGCTATGTCATTTGGTATGTATATGTTTAACTTCAAAGCTCCCAAATTGTTTTCCAGAGTGGCTATACTATTTGACATTCCCATCAGCTACATATAAGCGATCTAGTTTCTCCTCATGTTCACTTATACTTGGCATTGCTGGTCTTTCCTTTTAATTTAGCTATTCTAATAGGTATGCAATGAGCAGTGGTTTTTTTTTTAAATTTAAAGCTGTTTTGATAATTCTTTAGCCAATGGTGATGTTTTATTTCTTCTATTCCTGAATTAGTTTTTTAGTTTCTTTTAGCCTACTCTCTCTGGCAGCACATTTCTGAATCTGTTCCTTCAAGCAAAAGGTTTTAGATATGTCTTACTTTTAGAAAGCTACAAGCGAGTCTAGTTCAATGAATATTTATTATGGACCAGGCAACATATTCGATGTTAGAAATACAAAAGATGTGATGTTTAACTTTGATGACCTCAGGTGTAGTAAAGAGAAAAAAAAAATATATATATATATACACTAGGATATACACTAGGATATACTCTATTATTTACATTCTGTTCTTTAGAAACTGTGACAGTCATGCAGTTTATACACTAGGATGTGTAATAGGTAATTTGTAGGTCAAAGAGAGTATAAAGAATTAAATATGTCAGATGCATAGGAAGAAAAGGGCATTTTTTTTGCTTAAATTCTTTTATTGGTACATTTTAGGTATACAATATGTTTACATTTATCTTTGGGTGCTTGTACCTGTACATGATGGATCTTGGTTCTTATTTTTTTCCCATTCACTGTGCTCCCTTCACCCCCTCTCCACCTTTCCCTATTTACAAAGACTTTGTTTCCCTTTTTTCCTTTTCTCATAATTTTTACTTTCCCTTCTTTCCTTTATCCTTCCCCTTTCTCTTGCCCTCCCCCTTTGGACCTTTTCTTCCTATTTGAAATTATCAAATATTCATTTTAATAATTTTAATCCTTATTTACACTTTCAGTTTCTCACACTAGAGAAACTATTCAGTATTTATACGTGTGTCTTATTTATTTTACTTAAGAGTATGGCCTCAATATGCATCCATTTAGCTATAAATGTCTCTAGTTTCCCATTCTTTATGGCTGAGTAGTACTCTATTTTATAAAAAAAACACACACACACATCTTCTTTATCCAGTTTCCAGTTGATGGGCACTGGGGCTGTTTCCAAGCTTTAGCTATTACAAACTGTGCCACAATAAACATGGGTGCACATATATCGCTGTGGTATGATTCTTTTAATTCTTTTGGGAAGATACCCAGCAGGGGAATATCTGGGTCAAATGGGACCTCTAGTCCTAGTCCTTTGAGGTATCTCCATACTGATTTGCACAGTGGTTGCACCAGTCTGCATTCCCACCAACAATGGAGAAGGCTTCCTTTCTCCCCACACCCAAGCCAGCATTTGTTATTGGTTGATTTTTTGATAGCAGCCACGCTTTCTGGGGTGAGGTGGAATCTCAGTGTTGTTTTTATCTGCATCTCTCGAATGACCAGTGATGTTGAACATTTTTTCATAAGTTTGTTTGCTGCTTTTACTTCTTTGTCTGAGAAATGTCTGTTCATTTCAGATGGAAAAGGGCATTTTTGATAGAAGGATCGTGTATGTAAAAGCAGAGATGTGAAGCAGTTTGGTTTCACTGGAGGGCAAAGTGTATATGAGAGTAACAAAAAGGTGAGCTAGGTGCTTTGTAGCAGTTTCTTCTATAGACCATTACTGTAAAGTTTCAGGTGTTTTTAGTGTTGAAGAGTGGGGAATGTGTGATGGTAGTAGTAGCAGTGAGGGTGTGACTTGGTAACTTGATTAGACTTGCTTTTGTTTAGTAAGCTCATCTGGGTGGTAGAAGGAACGATTTTAAGATGAGTTTGAAACCAGAGTCAAGGACACCAGATAATTTAAGAGACTAGTTCGGTAGAGTTGGTGAGGGTTAAGTGTAGAAACAGTGATAATGGGACAGTGTTAGTGAGAGGAGACTCCAGAGGGTAGATTGGCTGGTGAGGGAGAAAAGACACTGGGCTTGAAAGCTACTGAGGAGACTTAGTGACTGATTAATTAGATTTATGGCTGAAATGATTTTTTAGTAAAGGAAATTGGTTATGAATTGAATTCCCCCCCTCCCCCAAAGATATGTCCAAGTCTCAATCTTCAGTAACTGAGAATGTTACCTTATTTGGAAATATAATTGTTGTGACTGTAATTAGATAGGATGTGGTCACACTGAAGTAAGATGGACTGCGTAATCTGATGTAATAGATGTCCTTATAAGAAAATGGCCATGTGAAGACATGGAAAACAACATGTGCAGATGGAGTGTTGGAGTGATGCATCTCCAGCCAAAGAATACCAAATACTGCTAGAAGCTAAGACAATTGTGGAATCTAGAATAATGCAAGGAAGGATTTCCCTGTACTCTATAGAGAAAGCAGGCTCCTAAAGATACCTTGACTTTGGATTTCTAGATTTCAATATGTGAACTAAGAAAATTTTGGTGTTTTAAGCCACTCAATTTATGGTACTTTGTTGTGTGTGTCTTTTTTGTTTTGTTTTGAGACAGGCTCTCACTACGTAGTTCAGGCTGTCCTTGAACTCACTGTGTAGTCCAGGCTGGCCTCAAAGTCATAGCAAACCTCTTGCTTCAACCTCCCAAGTGCTGGGATTACAGGTGTGTGCCACCAGGCCAGCACTATGGTACTTTAGGAAACTAACACAGAAGGAAAGCATTAAATGTGATTTTTGGTGACCGACCATGGTGAAAAGTATAGAAGTAATCAGAATTCCATAGGAAGAAGTTCATAAAATTTAGATGCTGCTTATTGTCCACTCTCTAGAATAGGTATGAGCCACGTTCAGTGAAAGTGAGGATGAGACCACATTCAATAGGCTCTCATAAAGTTGGAGATGTAAGAAGAGAAGGATGAAACAAAAAGACGCAAAGTAGAGAGCAACTATGAAAAGACTTGCTGAACTCTCTTCCCAGGCAATTAGCCACATACAGCTTAGCAACTTTATATTTATATAGGCTAGGGTAAAGGTAGCTTTTTGGATTTCCATATATTGACACATATTTTCAAACAAAATATATAACTAACTTGCATGTTACTAGTAAAGGAAATATTCACGTTAATACACTGTGTAATGATGAGCTTCTTGATGTTTGAGGTTAAACATTTTCTCAGTTTTAATGATTTTCATTAAAGATATAAATAAACATTTCTATCCTTTAATCCTTTAACATATTTGTATTACAAGTAAGAGAAAAGGAAAGGAAGTAATCTAGTTATATCATTCCATCTCTCTGTTACTCTATTGTTTACCTTCTGTTATTTAGAAACTGTAACAGTCATGCAGTTTATTATGTAATCATAAGACCAAAGTGAACATTTTCCATGAATTGTGAAAAATTTTGATTCCACCCAGATTGCAAGGGGATACCGAAAATCGCTACTACACATCTGGCATAATATACTAAGACAAGCCCTAAATATACTACGCTGCGGTGGGGACAGATGCACGTTGTGAAGAAGTGTGAAGTCTTGAGATTTTCGTCCCATGCAGAATAGCAGTTTAGCCTTCCACAGTCCTGGGTCAGAACACAGAACTTCCTTTCCAATGACACAGCAAGCACCACGAGCTTTGTGCTTGTGTTGGCTGCACTTGCACTCCCCACCAAAGACGTGGAAGAGTTCAAGGAGACGTGTACACAGTGCATTTATGTCACAGTCGAGGAGCCCTGAGTGTGGGAAATTCCAATGTATTATAATGAACTTTAAGGTAAAGTAAAACCTGCCCAACCTTTTGCCCAGGGTACAGTATTACCTTTATTGTACTAACAGTAAGCAAACCCACTCTCTTCTCCAGAGAGACAGTCTGTCTGTCT